CAGACCTTGGAGACAAGTTAACTGATAAAGAGGCTGATGAAATGGTCAGGGAAGCAGATATGGATGGGGACGGTCAAGTAAACTATGAAGAGCTTGTACAAATGATGACAGCAAAGTGAAGGCGTTGTACAGAATGTGTTAAATTTCTTGTGCAAAATTGTTTATTTGCCTTTTCTTTGTTTGTAACTTATCTGTAAAAGGTTTCTCCCTACTGTCAAAAAAATATATACATGTATAGTAATTAGGGCTTCATTCCTCCATGTTTTCTTCCCTTATCTTATTGTCATTGTCCTGAAACCTTATTTTAGAAAATTGATCAAGTAACATATTGCATGTGGCTTACTCTGGATATGTCTAAGCCCTTCTGCACATCTAAACTTAGATGGAGTTGATCAAATGAGGGAACATCTGGGTTATGCCTTATTTTTTTTTTTTTTTTGAGACAGAGTCTTGCTTTGCTGCCTAGGCTAGAGTGAGTGCCGTGGCGTCAGCCTAGTTCACAGCAACCTCAATCTCCTGGGCTCAAGTAATCCTCCTGCCTCAGCCTCCTGAGTAGCTGGGACTACAGGCATGCACCACCATGCCCCGCTAATTTTTTCTATGGCCAATTAATTTCTTTCTATTTATAGTAGAGACGGGCGTCTTGCTCTTGCTCAGGCTGGCTTCAAACTCCTGACCTGGAGCAATCCGCCTGCCTCGGCCTCCCAGAGAGCTAGGATGACAGGCGTGAGCCACCGCGCCCAGCCTGGGTTATGCCTTTTTAAAAGTAGTTTTCTTTAGGAACTGTCAGCATGTTGTTGTGTGCTGTGTGGAGTTGTAACTCTCCGTGGACTATGGACAGTCAACAATATGTTCTTAAAAGTTGCACTATTGCAAAATGGGTGTATTTTATCCAGGTACTCGTACCCTATTTTTTTGTATTGCTGGTCCTGCACCAGAAACATTTTATTGTTACTTGCTTTTTTTTTTTTTTTTTTTTGAGACAGAGTCTCGCTTTCTTGCCTAGGCTAGAGTGAGTGCCGTGGCATCAGCCTAGCTCACAGCAACCTCAAACTCCTGCCTCAGCCTCCCGAGTAGCTGGGACTACAGGCACAAGCCACCATGCCCGGCTGATTTTTATATTATATATATTAGTTGGCCAATTAATTTCTTTCTATTTTTATGGTAGAGACGGGGTCTCGCTCAGGCTGGTTTTGAACTCCTGACCTTGAGCAATCCGCCCGCCTCGGCCTCCCAGAGTGCTAGGATTACAGGCGTGAGCCACTGCGCCCGGCCTGTTACTTGCTTTTTAAACTTTGTTTTAGCCACTTAAGGAAAATCTGCTTATGTCACAATTTGCCTCAAATCCATTCCAAGTTGTATATTTGTTCTCCAATTAAAAAAATTACAATTTACCCAACGGTTAAAAAAAAAAAAAAGAAGAAAGAAATTAATTGGCCAACTAAAAATATATACAAAAAACTAGCTGGGCATGGTGGCACATGCCTGTAGTCCCAGCTACTCAGGAGGCTGAGGCAGGAGGATCGCTTGAGCCCAGAAGTTTGAGGTTGCTGTGAACTAGGTTGATGCCACGGCTCTCTAGCCTGTGCAACAGAGTGAGACTCTGACTCAACAACAGCAACAACATAGAGACATTAAGATATGAGCAGATCTTATGGCTTTATAAGATTCTTCATTTGCCAGGATTCAAATAGTTCCCCCCCTCCCCCAGACTATGAAACCCTAAAACATTGTTAGCTAGGCAATCTGAGATTTTTACTTCTGACAATATGACTTTTTAGGTGAAAATTTACATTTCAAAGACACAAAACTTAGATCTCAACACCATTATTTGCTGAGATAAAAGGAAGATTTAAGGCTCAGTCAAGGCAAGGTGGCCTGGCAAGTATCTTCAACAAAGGTAAAAATATGTTATGTAAACTTTAAGCCAAGTAAAACTTCCTAGTGGTTTAGGTACAGAGAGGGAGACATCCTTGTAAATGGAGATTTTCTTTTAGAGAAGTTACATGTTTTTGCAGAGTTTCACAATAGCCAGCTAAATGCCAGAAAGCTGTGTTTTGGAAAGCTATCTTGTTCAGTGGGTGGTATTTTTTAATTTAGCCTTTGTTTCTTAGCTAAAATTTCGGAGTTCAGCGGGAAGTATATGTCTCTGATCGACAAACTTCCTTATCTTAATTTAAAACAGTCCAAGGCTTTAGACAAAGCTTCATTTCTTTAACCAATTACAAATAAAAAAAAAAAAAATCTTTGAACCTACCCGTATAACCTGTAAGCAGCCTCTTCCCCTCCCCCACTCCTGCTTTGTGATGTTCCACCTTTTCTGGCCAAGCCAATGTACACCTTCCAAATATTGATTCATGATTTTACGTGTAATTCCTGTCTCCACGGGGAAGGTATAACACCAAACTTAATGCAACTTGCCTTGGGCACATTTTTTCAGGACTTCTTGAGGCCCTGTGCTCTGGGCCAGAGGTCACACAAGCAGGTTGAGAATAAACCTCTTTATTTTACAGAGTTTGGGGTTTTTCCATTAACTTAGGGAAGGGAATCAAAGCCCTGGGGAATTTTCTCAGGTGGTAGTGATGGGTATCTTTTTGTTTACCTCCAGCATGGAGGCAATTGTCTCATAATTTCTTTTAGAAGCTTCTTAGGAGCTGTTGGAAATAAGTCTCCTATTAAATTTGTCTAGTTCTAAAACCAGCTTTTTCTAACTGTGTGTGCAAATAAATTACTTTAGATGTTTCAAAAGACCTGCATGTAGGTCACTGCTACTCACGATCATTCTGGGTTAGGTGGGTCCAGGTTCCTTAGATGTCTACAAGAGGGTGCTCCGTAAGTAAGTGCTGCACAGAAAACCACCTGGTGTTTAACTAGTAGGGGTTGGTCACAAGAGAAGCATCAAGCCTGAATTTCAAACAATAGGAAAGCAGGTGCAATTTTTTAAAGGGTGTGTGCAAAAGTCGGCCAGTAGTATTGGCAGTAGACTGCCTGGCCCTGACCTGAACCTCTGACCCTAAGGCAGAGGTGGAACAGGTAGTTTTAGCCTGTAACCCGAATCTCTTGTCCGCAGGGTAAAAATGGAAAACCTCTGTTCTAGAAAAAGAGGGTTTGAGAGAACAGCTCGAGCCAAGTCTAGACCTTCAACTCAAGAGTGGGAGAGGTCCGGATTTTCAGTAGGACTTACCACCTTATATCCAAGAATTTCTCTCAGAATCAGAACACAAGGTGTTCAGAGCAGGCCAGGGGCTGAGTCTCAGAGGAATGTTGATGGTCAGGGGTGTGTGGCTCTGAATCCTGCCCACAGCACCAGAAGTGTCAATCTGAAAGGAAGAGGCTGGCAGGCGTGGGGGCTCCTGGCTGTAATCCTAGCACACTGTGAGGTTGAGGCAGGAGGATGCCTTGAGCTCAGGAGTTGGAGGTTGCAGTGAGCTGTGATGACTCCACTACATTCTAGCCCAGGAGACAGAGCTTGACTCTGTCTTTTAAAAAAGTAATTAGGTCGGGCGTGGTGGCTCATGCCTGTAATCCTAGCACTCTGGGAGGCTGAGGCGGGCGGATTGCTTGAGGTTGGGAGTTTGAAACCAGCCTGAGCGAGACCCCGTCTCTACTAAAAATAGAAAGAAATTAATTGACCAACTAAAAATATATATACAAAAAAATTAGCCGGGCATGGTGGTGCATGCCTGTAGTCCCAGCTACTCTGGAGGCTGAGGCAGGAGGATCGCTTGAGCCCAGGAGTTGGAGGTTGCTGTGAGCTAGGCTGACGCCATGGCACTCACTCTAGCCTGGGCAACAAAGTGAGACTCTGTCTCCAAAAAAAAAAAAAAAAGTAATTAATAAATAAAAGGAAGAGGTTGATGCACAAGATATAATTTAAAGAGCTTACTTGAGCCAAAGAGACAACAGGACTCAGACCCAAGGAACCTTGGATATAAACCTCATTTGGTCTTCGTTACAAATAGAATTTTCTTTTTTTTTTTTTTTGAAACAGAGTCTCTCTCTGTCTCCAGGCTAGAGTGCATTGGTGTCAACGTAGCTCACTGCAACCTCAAACTCCTGGGCTCAAGTGATCCTCCCGCCTCAGCCTCCCAGAGTGCTAGGATTAGAGACATCTAAGCCACCACGCCTGGCCAGGTTTTTGTTTTGTTTCTATTTTTTTGTAGAGATGGGGTCTTGCTGTGTTGCCCAGGCTGGTCTTGGACTCCTGGCCTCAAACAATCTCTGACCTCAGCCTCCCAAAGTGCTGGGATTACAGGTGTCAGCCTCAGTGCCCAGCCCATAAGCAGGTTTTTAAAGGCAAAACTGGGGTGGGGGTGGGGCAGGGAGTGGGCTGGTACAAAGTTGTTTGTCAGGCATTTTTCCACTAGTTTGCAGACATAACATGGACTGGTGATTGGTTAGACCCTGTTAAGTGTGTCACGATTGTGTCTGGTGCATTATTAGGTTAATTTATAGGTCCTTGTGGCAACAAGAAGCAGTCTCAGGAGAAGAACACAGAGCTCAACGGGAGGAGTAGGACGCGATTGCTATCTCATTTTAATGTCTCTCTGGCCTGATAACTTAAAAGGACACACATTCCTCAGATGAAAGTTCTTTTTCTGGCCAGCTTGGTGGCTCACGCCTGTAATCCTACCTTTCTGGGAGGCCAAGGCGGGAGGATGGCAGCAGCTCAGGGGTTCGACACCAGCCTGAGCACAGTAAGACCTATCTCTATCAAAAAAAAAATAAATAAATAAATAAAAAATAAGTAAATAAAAATAAAAAAATTATTTTCTGATTTTCTTCCTTTCTTTTTCTCTTTGACCAAGCCGCTGACACCATGGGCACGGAGGTTCCCCATGTCTGTGACTCCTTCAGAGGCCTGAAAAGGGGCTCCCCAGCCTCCCACAGGACAGGCCTAAGAATCCCGGGCTCAGGTTGGGGCAAGAGGCGGTGCCAGGCGGGCGGTCACCCTTGGAGGCCTGCACACCTTAGCCTTGGAGCCTCGCTTAGCTGCGGACCGCGGAGGAGAAAGAGCGAGAGGCTTCTGGGCCTCCGAGGCCGCCGTAGCGAGGGGGCGGGGCCCGGGGGGCGGGCAGCATGGCGGCGCGGCACAGTGACAGCGACGAGGACCTGGTCAGCTACGGGACCGGCCTGGAGCCCCTGGAAGAAGGTGCGGGCCCGAGTGGGCGACCGAGGCCGTCAACCGCAGGCCCGGGAGGGTGGGGTCGGCGCACAGACGCGCCACCCGGAGCTGGGCCTCGGCTCGGTCGCTGCCGGCGCTGGGGACGCGGCGACTAGGGAGGCGTGCGCCGCCCCCTCGGGGTGCTGCGGGTCTGGGGGGGACGGGGGACGGGAGAGTGACAGAACAGCCCGTGTGAGGCGGGGGGCGGCCAGGCGACGTCTTTTCCAGGAGAGGGTGTTTGATCTCTGACCGGAAAACGAGGAAGACACCAACCGCGGGAAGATGGGGGTGGCGGGGTGGGACAGGCAGAGGAAACAGCAAGTGCAAAGACCCTGAGGTGGGAGCCAGTTCAGCAAATCGAAGGACAGGTGGGACTGCTGAGGGTGCAGCCGAGGGGGAGACAGGTAGAGAACATGATGCCAGAGGGTCAGGCAGGGGCTGGACCTTATACTAAGTGTAGGAAAGTCATGGGGGGCGGCTTACACAGGGAGATGTGTATTTTTAATATTATTATTATTTTTTTTTTCTTTTTTGAGACAGAGTCTCACTCCGTTGCCTGGGCTAGAGTGCCGTGGTGTCAGCCTAGCTCACAGCAACCTCAAACTCCTGGGCTCAAGCGATCCTCCTGCCTCAGCCTCCCCAGTAGCTGGGACTACAGGCATGCACCACCGTGCCCGGTTAATTATATATATATATATATGTATATTTTTAGTTGTCCAGGTAATTTTATTTTTAGTAGAGACGGGGGTCTCGCTCTTGCTCAGGCTGGTCTAGAACTCCTGACCTTGAGCGATCCTCCGGCCTCAGCCTCCCAGAGTGCTAGGATGACAGGGGTGGGCCACCGTGCCCAGCTGAGATGTGTATTTTTTTTTTCCTTTTTTTTTTTTCAAAAATACACACTGTAACCAATAGATGTGTATTTTTTTTTTTTTTTTTTTGAGACAGAGTCTCGCTTTGTTGCCTAGGCTAGAGTGAGTGCCGTGGCGTCAGCCTAGCTCACAGCAACCTCAAACTCCTGGGCTCAAGCGATCCTCCTGCCTCAGCCTCCCGAGTAGCTGGGACTACAGGCATGCGCCACCATGCCCGGCTAATTTTTTCTATATATATTAGTTGGCCAATTAGTTTCTTTCTATTATAGTAGAGACGGGGTCTCGCTCTTGCTCAGGCTGGTTTCGAACTCCTGACCTCGAGCAATCCGCCCGCCTCGGCCTCCCAGAGAGCTAGGATTACAGGCGTGAGCCACCGCGCCCGGCCAGATGTGTATTTTTAATATCATTTTATTTTTGATTTTGAGAATAGGCTGGTTGGGGGTGAGTAAGAGCAAAGCAAGAGTAGCAAAAAGAGGGCTGGAGAAGATGGTTGCATGGGCTGGGGAGTTAGAGGATGTGGCAAGTAGGGGGTCTGGGTGCAGATGTACTTTGAAAGCATAGCCGAGTGGACTTGTTCGTGGAATGTGGGGGTTAGGTCAAGATGAATCAAGTTTCTCTCCAGTGTTTCTGGTCCGTTCCACTTAGTGACTTGATTTGTTCAGCACATTATGTAGTGAGTGTCCAGTGAGGGCTGCTGGCTATGCTGGCCCTGTGGGGGAGACAGAGGAAGCATGGTGGAATTGTTGGTCCAGAATTTACTTGCAGAGCTCCTGTTGGTGGGAGTCCCCTCCCTCTTCCCACTCTGACCGCATCCTGCCAGGATGGTCTTACTTCTTCTGGGATATCTCCTCTGATCTCCTACAAACAGTTCTAATTATTAGAAACTTCTGCCCTCGGCTTGCAGAAGTCTGAGAAAGGACAGAAGTAGGGCCAGTACTACTGAATCCGGTTTTTTTTTTTTTGAGACAGGTTGTCGCTCTGTTACCTAGGCTGGAATGCAGTGGCACGACCATGGCTCACTGCAGCCTCAAACCCCTGGGTTCAAGAGATCCTCCTGCCTCAGCCTCCTGAGTAGCTAGGACTTCAGGCACACACCACCACGCCCAGCTAATTTTTAAATTTTTTAGTCTGTGTCGCCCAAGCTGATCTCAAACTCATGACCTCAGGCAATCCTCCTGCCTCTGCCTCCCATAGTGCTGGGGTTATAGGCCTCAGCGACCATGCTCTGCCCCGAATGCTTTTTTATGTGTTTGAAGACAGCCCTTGTGTTTCCTCTGAGACAGTTCTTTTCCCACACTCAATATCCTCAGTGCTGTAACACATTCAGTTTAAAGTCCCCTCAGCCCTCATCTGTTAGAACTCTGTGTTCCAGTAGACCAGACTGTGGATAAAGCAGGGCCATTGTCACCAGTATGTCCCTCATTCCAGACTGTATTTCTTTGGTATAGCCTAAGATCACATTGGCTTGATTGGCAAAGCATATCACTTTATGATCCGAAAGAATATGTCAAAGATCCTTTATTAGAGGAGGAGTTCCAGATCTAATTGAAAACAAAAGGTTTGCAGGTGCTAAAATCTGTGCTGTGGACAGGAGATAACATACACAAGCTAACAGGTAGCCCAAGGAGGCATGATGGTCTCCTTGCAGACTGGTTAGAATTCAGCTATGCAAGAAGAGGACAAGAGAGAAGCGTGCATGGGTGGAGATCATTACAGTCGTGCTAAGCAGCTATTCATACCATTTCTATAATTCTGCTCACAGCTGTTTCCTTACGAAGTGATAGGTTGGTAAGTCATCAACTATTTGACCTTATATTTTTCTAATTCTTCCTCTTTTGGTGCTGCACAAAAATTCTGAAATGAAGCCTAATGATCCAACCATGCTTTCGAAGTGGAAGGAAGGGAATTTCTATTTGTAGACTTTTTTTTTTTTTCTGGCCTAAAAGTATCCTTTAACTTCCCAGCAATAGAAGTTTTCTGAGGATCAGTTCGTTGTTTTATAAGCACTTTGAAGTTTAAATGCACTCTTGACTTCATTTTACAATATAACATACTGGACCTCTTCAAAGAAGACTTGATTTAGGAAGAGAGAAAAAAAAAACATACCAGGCCAATAATCACTTGTACTCTTTGCTTTGAAGTTTTAGTGACAGGTTAGGCAAACATTGGTAGAGGAGGGACTGTACACCTTAATTAAAGTTTCTGGGTCTAACAGAAAGATTTATTGGTTAAGAATTAGCCAGGGGGCCTAGGGACAGTGGCTAAACTTTACAGACAGAAAGGCCTTCTGACTTGAAGGTGGCACAAGCACTACTACTCTTTAATCAGACACTTTCACTTGGTTCTAGAATCATCTCCAGCTCATCCTGTATCCAGATTAATTTGGGGGCCATTTTCCTCCTCTTTGGTCCCGTGACTCTCACTTAACACTACCCACGGCTTCCCTCTCCCACAAAACATACCGTAGACCCTGCAGCACCATGTTCAAGGCTCTCTGGACTATGTCCCCTTCTGGTTCCATCTTCCACTCCTTCTCTGTCCTCTAGTCAGATCGGACTACTTTCTCAATACTCCTGAGGTTGCCCTTTTATACCTCCTTCTGTTTACTGATGGGAGTCAACGCCTCCTTGGAAATCACGTCCCTGTCTGCAGCTACCAACGTGCTGCTCCTTCCTAAGCGTGCCTGATGCTGTGGCCCTTCACAGTGTCGGATGTGCTCCAGGCCACGCAGGGCTCTTCTGCTGGGCTCTGAGCACACTGAGAACAGGGGCAGAGTTGTGTTTAGTTTTCTACCGCCAGGGTTTAGAACCGGGCCCCTTCCACAGCAAGCCCCCGGTTAACTGTTGGTTGGGGGATGAGTGAGGGACAGTATGGGTGGCATCCCTGGCTTGGAGACAGAGTTGAGATCTGGTTTCAGCTTTGTGCTTATTAACTGTGGGCCTCAGGGCAGTTACCCAATCCGTGTCCTCATCAGGGTGTGATAAATGAGATAATATGTTTGAAGGGAAGGGATTCGTTGTCATTAGTAGCAGTAATTACAACATGGCCTGGTTAAAATACCACCTCGTCCGTGGAGTTTTCCTGTCCACTGTGATTAGCGGCGGCGCCTTCTCCTTAGGAGCCCTGTGGGGCATGGTTGGCCGTGCTCTTGCTAGTTGGCCCTCATCCTCTGCCACCACAGGCTCCACTTAGCTGTCTGCAGATCTTATCTCCCCTTCCAGCTCAGGAACACTTGGAGGACAGAGCAAGAACAGCACCTAGCACTGGCAGGACCTGCTCTCTCTCACCTTAGCCCAGAGGGTCTCAGCTGGGAACAACCGGCAATGTCTGGAGACATTTGGTTGTCTTGCTTATGGAAGCTGCTACTAGAACCTAGTGTTACAGCCAGGGATGCTGCTAAACATCCTACAGCTCATAGAACATCCTCCCACAACAAAGGATTATCAGGCACAAACTGCCAATAGTGCTGCGATTGAGAAACTCTGCCTTAGCCAAGACCCACGCCAGGTGCGCATGCAGTAACGGAGTGTAGGTACTGCGTTTCTCAGAAATAGTGAACATCTTGGATTACGGGACCCAAGTTGTCATTAAGTTCTTTACAGTGGAAAGACACTGTAGCTGATACTGACTGAGCCTCCCTAGGACTAGGCCCTGAGCTCAGTTGTCTACACATGATATTTAGTCCTTGTTAACACCTTACAAAGATGGGCTTTGTTTCACTTTTTGGTTTTTTGTTTTTGTTTTTGAGACAGAGTCTCTCTTTGTTGCCCAGGCTAGAGTGAGTGCTGTGGCATCAGCCTCGCTCACAGCAACCTACAACTCCTGGGCTCAGGCGATCCTCCTGCCTCTGCCTCCCGAGTAGCTGGGACTACAGGCATGCACCACCATGCCCGGCTAATTTTTTCTATATGTATTAGTTGGTCAATTAATTTCTTTCTATTTATAGTAGAGACGGGGTCTTTCTCTTGCTCAGGGTGGTTTCAAACTCCTGACCTCAAGCAATCCGCCCGCCTTGGCCTCCCAGAGTGCTAGGATTACAGGCGTGAGCCACAGCGCCCGGCCGATAGGCTTTGTTATTGCCCTGATTTTACAGTTGTGCAGGCCGAGGCTTAGAGAAACTAAGCAACTTGCCCAAGACCACAAAGCTAGTAAGTAGCAGAGCAAGGGGATTTTAACTCAGATCTCCTGGCCCTTGATCCTGAGCTCTTGACTGCCTTACTATGGGTTATACTCCAGGTCTGACCCAAAGAAAGACCTTACAAGCTCTAAGTAAGAATTTAGGACTATGAGGTTAGAAGTTCCTTTACATTTTGTTCTCCTTTTCAAAAGTAGGAACTGGCTTAATCATTGAAGTAACAGGCATACGTGGACTTCAGGGCATCTCTTACCTACCTGTTGTTATATAATAACAATAGCAGTGGAAGCCAGCACTTTTAAAGTATTTATTGTGTGTCTTCTTGCTAAGCCCTTTATGAGCATTATTTAATTTGCTAACGACTCTATGAAATAGCTATTACTATGAATCTCGTTCCCATTTAACAAAGGAAAATTGAGTCACAAAGCGGTGAAGTTGACCAAGGTCCAGTGCCAGTAAAGGTAGAGTGGCTTTCAAATCCAGAGCACTGTGACCCTCAACCTGGTACCCTTAACCACTATATAACCCACTTTCTGTTCTGAACCTTTGAAAATAACTTGATTTTTTTTGTGTGTGTGTTTTAAATAAATTCAGGATTTTGAATTGGAGTAGATAAAATTAGGCAGTAATTTGTGCCATAGTACCTGGAATTTTCTTTCTTTCTTTCTTTTTTTTTTTTTAAGCAGTCAAATTTAGCAGTGGGGGATTAAATACCAACTTTAGTGACACTAATGTTAATAAGTTCTGATAACCCACTACCATCGGACCAGCCAGTACCTGGAATTTTAAACTGAAGGAATTTCTAGGCTAGGCCTGAAATGTATTAAACCCCCTTTGCTTATGTGATGTGACAACCCAGCCCTTTCAACAAAGCAGGAAAAGGAAAGGTTTAAAGAACAGTAATTATAGAATCAGGAGATTCACAGAAATTAAGGAAACTCTTAACAGGTAGGGAAAATAGGCAATGCCTGTGGAAACATTCTGGAGTCAGGGATGCTGTGAAGTTCTAGAAGAGGTATGGAAGTATTCCCTCTGTCACAGACCTCTGTTTGCCATGTACCACACCAGCTTCTTGCCTCCTTCTTTGCCAGGAGATTTTTAATTTGTCTATGTGAGCCCTCCCCGCAGTATAATCTGGTTTTTGTAATGCCATATAGTGGGAAAAGCAGCCCATTTTTACTAAAGCATAGCTTTAGTAAAACATAAGCTTGATAAAATATAGTGTTTTCTAGATTATATAAACTAGTAAAGTGTTAGAATAACAATTTATGAAAAAAATGGTTATATTTGAAGTTATAAGAAGTAGACAACTTATTATGTTTAAGAAATGTCATTTTCCCTGAATTCTCTAACTCACCATCCCCTTCTCTCCTTTTCGTTCAAAAAAATTTTTTTTTCAGGTGAAAGACCAAAGAAACCAATTCCTCTTCAGGATCAGACTGTCAGAGATGAAAAAGGAAGGTATAAACGATTTCATGGAGCCTTTAGCGGAGGTTTCTCTGCTGGGTACTTCAATACCGTTGGCTCAAAGGAAGGTATGATTTTCCTTCTTATAGCTACTATGTTGGCAAAGCAAATGATTGAAGTATTATTGTAAGATCCTACTCCACCCCCCACCTTTTAAAAACTTCTTCTTTATACATTTTAGTACATACATTGTAGTCTTTTGTGTTCTTAGAATGTTTGAAATGTTTACAGAGTCAATGTGTGTGTTTAGTGATTGCAAGCTGAAGGTGAGTTGTCTTCCACTTTGTAAAAAATAGATACATTCTAACCAGATGTTTAAATGACGATTATTACTTCCCTTTTGTATTTTCTTGCCATGCACAAAGTACTCTTACATAGACTCTCTCTGTTAATTATTGACTGTCTCTCGTAACTCAGTGAGTGAGTAAAGAGGACAAGGTATCAGAGGTATCTTGCAGATAAGGCTGCCTACCGGGCATCAGAGAAGTTCAGGAGCCAGCACAGTGTCACCAGCTGCTCCCCCAGTCACTGGGGACCACAGCAGGACTGGTTCCTACTTGCTTTTGACCTGGAGAAAAAGCAATTATATTTTTCACATTATATAGTATAATACATTCTGTATTGTTTACAGTATTTTTTTTAATGTTTTAACCTAGAAGCATTTTTTTGAATTGGAAGAAGATGGCTTTCAGTTATGCATAGAAGATGAACTGATTAATTCACATAGCAATTATCTAGGAAAAGATAGGCCAGGTCTCTTCTCTCTATATATAAATATGTATATATTTATATAGATATATATACACACACATGTAATGTGTATGTGTCTGTTTAAAAAGAACTTGTATGCAGCAATACTAGTGAAATATTTTTTATTTTATTTTATTTTTAATTTTGGGTTTTTTTGGTTTTTTTTTTTTGAGACAGAGTCTCGCTTCGTTGCCCAGGCTAGGGTGAGTGCCATGGCGTCAGCCTAGCTCACAGCAACCTCAAACTCCTGGGCTCAAGCAATCCTTCTGCCTCAGCCTCCCGAGTAGCTGAGACTACACGCATGTGCCATCATGCCCGGCTAATTTTTTCTATATATATGTTAGTTGGCCAATTAATTTCTTTCTATTTATAGTAGAGACGGGGGTCTTGCTCTTGCTCAGGCTGGTCTCGAACTCCTGACCTCGAGCGATCCGCCTGCCTTGGCCTCCCAGAGTGCTAGGAATTACTAGTAAAATAAAGATGTAAAGCAGTGTAAGAAAGAAAAAAAGGTAACACAAGAAAAATACTTGGGGTAAATATGACAGTTAACGTTCAATATTGAGAATGTATAAACCTCAGTCCCTAATGAGCAAATGGTCAAAGTATTAGAACAGTTTACTTGAGAGGAGCTAGAAATGCTATGTAGAATATTGAGCCTTCTTATTAAGCAAATTGAACTAGCAAGGACACTATTAAACTAAAACACCTATTAAAATTGTGAAAATGACAGAAGGATTTGCAAAGAAAGAAGCACACTGACACATGGCTGGCTCTCGGGTAATTGTAGACAGTATTTCTGGAGAGTAGTTTGATCTGATAATGGTACTTTGGGCACTTTATTCTAAAGAAATTTTTTAAAAAAGGAAACAATCCCATCTATGTGTTATAATTACAACTGTGCCGTATATTATAATTCAAAAGTAGAACCGACTCAAATGTTCCCTTATGGGAAATTAATCAGGGAGACTGTGATAAGTTAATGCACGGGAATATCTCTTTCATCATCAGGAGCGACAGACTCAAGGTCTGTACACAAGTAGGACAAAGACTCTAGAAATCCTAAGTGAGGAAGGTGCTGGGCCCAGGGTGTTACCCAGGAGAGCTGGGTCTCACTGTCTGGGGGCATCTCCCAGGATGACTCAGAAACCTGCTCTTCCCACCCTCCAAGAAAAGACCTTCTCCAAATTCCTTAGCTCCACAAGACCCTGGAACGGAATCAGAAAGGAGGTGCATTGCTCTTAGAGAAAACTAAAGAAGTTTATCTGCAGAGGTTACAGATACCTTTGACCTCCAGAGCATTTTCTCTCTGTAGACATGGCACCTGCTTGGTGACCATCGTCAGGGAACAAGGATGTTAATTATAGGACACAGGTGTCTGATGGAATTTGGGGCTGGGCACAGCCATTGCCCGTGGACCAGCCAGGTTGAGTCCTTGGGCCAGGGTACCCTGAATGCCGCCTAGCTTGCTTCTGTGACCCTGCCCATCCTTTTGTGGCTGACCATCACACCTGGACAGATTGTTTCTTCAGATATGTTAATATGTTAGTGCAGATTGCTGTCCTGCTGGTACTCAGAGTGGTCTTGCATTTTAAGGTGACCTTGTGTCTTTCTGTGTTCATTTCACAGTTTAACTTTCTTTTTTTTTTTTGAGACAGAGTCTCACTCTGTTGCCCGGGCTAGAGTGAGTGCTGTGGGTCACACTAGCTCACACTAACCTCAAACTCCTGGGCTCAAGCGATCCTCCTGCCTCAGCCTCCCGAGTAGCTGGGACTATAAGCATGTGCCACCATGCCCGGCTAATTTTTTCTACATATATTAGCTGGCCAGTTAATTTCTTTCTATTTATAGTAGAGACAGGGTCTTGCTCTTGTTCAGGCTGTTTTTGAACTCCTGACCTCGAGTAATCCTCCCGCCTCGGCCTCCCAGAGTGCTAGGATTACAGGCGTGAGCCCCCGTGCCCGGCCGAGACTTCCTTTTCTACTTTTGAGACGATAGAGAGCTTTTACTGACTGCCCATTCTCTCAAATCGATTCAGAGAATCTTTCTTAAAATGCATTTAGAAAATGGTTACTTTGTCCTTTCAGTATTACCTTTTTTTTTCATTCATGTTTTATTTTTTTTTTTCCCTATCGTTTTAATAAAAGTGATACTTCTTGGAGGCTGTTTCCCAGGAAGGTTAGTTCTTACAGCAGCCATTAGAGCAGCGGTGGTCTGTAAACGCCGGTCACCAGCACTGACCCCAGGGCACATTGATGGGTAGATGAACATTTCTGCCTTTCTGCTTTCGGAGGCCCCGTTTCTGCCTCTGCTCTGCTACTGGAGTGCGCTCTGAACTCCTCTTCCTGCGCTAAGACCTGGCGCCGTGGCTGCCGCAAGGGCTGGAGGACAGCCCCAGCGCTGAGAAGTGGCATCCACTTCCGGCCGTTGTTTTCCAAGAGACTTGAGTCTGTGTTAATCTGGGACTCCCTTTCGTATCTCTCTTGGTGACCTTGAAGTGCTCCTGTAGTCCCTTCAGCCGCATCCTTAACGTAGCTTTAGCCTTTGGTGCACACATACCTAAAATGTGCTCAAATTGAAATCTTGGTTTTTGAAGGCTTTTGGTGTAGGTGCCCTGGAAGAGGAAGATGATGATATCTATGCCACAGAAACTCTATCCAAGTACGACACTGTTCTGAAGGACGAGGAGCCCGGAGATGGACTCTATGGGTGGACGGCACCCAGGCAATATAAAAGTCAGAAAGGTAATTCCATAGACCCTCGGATCGATTCTTGGTCCTATGATACTCGACAGTAGGACCAGTTTCAGGATACCAGGGAGGAGGGATCGCCATATTGGTACTGGAGTGTCAGCCTCTGTGGACTAGGGGGTTGCTGGTCAAAGATGCAGGGTGAGAAACAAAGTAGAGAGAAGAGAGGCCCAGTGTGGTTGGTAAGACAGAAGCAGGGTGTAGACCAGGCCAAGGCCAAAGCCAGCTGTCAAGGCAGGGCCGGGGTGGGGAGGTTGCTGTACAAAAATATTTTCTTCTTTTTGTATTGTTATTCTATAAACTTCTTTCCATTAATATTTTTAAACTTATTTTTTACCTTTTAAGCTTTTTTGTTAAAAACTGAGACACAAACATACTTATTAGCCTAGACCTACACAGGGTCAGGATCATCAATATCACTGCCTTCCACCTCCCCATCTCGTCCCACTGGAAGGTCCTCAGGGGCAGCGATACACATAACACTGTCATATGTATCGTCCATGATAGCAGTGCCTTCTAGAATACTTCCTGAAGGACCTGTCTGAGGCCGATTTACAGTTAACTGTTTTTACAAGTTGGAGCACACTCTAAGATAATGATAAAAAGTATAGTGTAGTAGATACCTAAAGCAGTAACAGAGTCATTTTTATTATCATTATCACGTTTATGCCCTGCACGTAATTGCATGTGCCAGACCTTTGTATGACTGGCAGTGCAGTAGGTTTGGCTGCACCAGCGTCACGGCAAACACGTGAGTAAGGCGGAGAGCTATGACGTCATGACAGCTACGACATCACCAGGTGATAGGAATGTTTCAGCTCCATTAAAACCTTACGGGACCACCGCGTTGTATATGTGTTGGCTAAAATGTCGTTATGCGGCACGTGACTGTAAAAACAACAACCTAGATAAACATCTGAGATAAAACAATCTATTGAGATGTTTTTAGCTGTGTTGGGATGAAGTTTGATCTAACTTTTTTTTTTTTTTTTTTTTGAGACAGAGTATCACTTTGTTGCGCAGGCTAGAGTGAGTGCCCGGGCGTCAGCCTAGCTCACAGCAACCTCCAACTCCTGGGCTTAAGGGATCCTCCTGCCTCAGCCTCCCGAGTAGCTGGGACTGCAGGCACGCACCACCACGCCTGGCTACTCCTTCTTTTCTGGGGAGCAAAGACACCGTTCACATTAGTCCTACGGTGAATTTTCTCTACCTCTGCCTGGGCAAACTGTTTGACAGCCTCGTTCCTAAAGCAGACCCTGATGAGGGAAATGGGATCAAAGTGACGGGCTTAGATAAGACACAAAGCCCCGTCCCCTAAGCCTGCCCCCCAGCCCCGACACTGGGGCACTACTCCTGAAGTGCGTGGTGGCACAGAGGAAGGCAGGTGCCTGGACTGCATCGGGGCTGTGCAGGGACGGAGGAGGGGCCAGCAGCCGGACGGGCCACCAGTCACAGCTGCTCCAGGCCATGCAGAAGCACCTGACCCAAGGCCTGGCACGCAGGCTCTCACAGAGATTGTGACTGTGAATCCCAGCTTTGTCCCCTTCACTCTGACTTTTGCAATACTGTCAGGAAGAACACGGCCCTTTCTTCTCCTCTTTCCAGCTTGCTAGTGCCTGTTGTGGCCCCGATGAGCGGCAACTGTCATTCTCTGCCCTTGGCCACCAGTCTTACCTTATGTGGGGACAAGGTTCCAGAGTCGGTGTGTGGGGTCTGCTGTTCGGCTCATCCGGAGCTAATTTTGTAATTTTAACTTTTTTTTAAGAAATAAAGCCATGTGATATATCATGTTTAATCACTTCCCAAATAATGTAACTCTGTTTGAATTTTTTTTTTTTAAGGATCTCAGTGAATTTGGGATCGCACCTAAAGCGATTGTTACGACCGATGATTTTGCTTCAAAAACCAAAGATAGGATACGAGAAAAGGCCAGGCAGTTGGCAGCTGCTACCGCCCCTATTCCTGGAGCCACCCTGCTTGACGACTTCGTAACGCCAGCAAAGTGAGGAAAATTTCATTCTGACTGTTCTGATCTTAGCGTCCGTGCTTTGCGCATGCATGGTCGTCTTACTCAGGGATAGCTTGACCGCACGTAAGAGAAGCCTACCTAGGCGAAAAGTCTAGGTGGAAAAGGGGGTCTTGCCAAAAAAGGGTCTAGCACCACCCCTGCATGGAGTGCTCAGGAGCTCCAGCCGCCAGCCCTACTGCCGGGGCTCACGGGCCCGGAGCACTTCCCTTCCACACTCTCCTCCAAGGCCGTATGGATTCTCTCCTGTCTGCCTTTTTTTTTTTTCTTTGGGACAGAGTCTCACTCTGTTGCCCGGGCTAGCGTGCCATGGCATCAGTCTAGCTCACAGCAACCTCCAACTCCTGGCCTCAAGCGATCCTCCTGCCTCAGCCTTCCGAGTAGCTGGGACTGGAGGCATGTGCCACCATGCCCAGCTACTTTTTTCTATATATTTTAGTTGGCCAATTCATTTTCTTTCTAGTTTTAGTAGAGACGGGGTCTCGCTCTTGCTCAGGCTGGTTTTGAACTCCTGAACTTGAGCTGTCTGCCCACTTCGGCCTCTCAGAGTGCTGGGATTACAGGCGTGACCCACTGTGCCCTGCCCTGTCTGCCTCATTCTACCCTCTCTTTCCGTGAACCTCCTTGTTCTGCTCCCGGGCATGTGACCTGGCGTGGCAGCCTCAGACCTTCATGGTGCTCTAGGCCTTGCCAAGGACTGTCCAGACTGCCTGTGTGCCCATTCCAAAGGCCCAGGAGAGAGGACATCCCGTTGACTTCCCCAGGTCAGCTGTGGCTGGAGCGGCAGGTCACGCAGTTCTGACATGGGTGCGGGAAAGGGCCCCGAGGCGAGACAGATGTAGGAGCCGGGCAGGAGCTCAGAAGCTGCTTGTGTCATGCTGTTCTCGAATGCTATGTTTTAAAAAACTTCCTTTTCAATGCCTCCTTATCCTAGATTATCTGTCGGTTTCGAATTGCTAAGAAAAATGGGCTGGAAGGAAGGACAAGGAGTCGGTCCTCGAGTGAAGAGACGGCCACGCAGACAGAAACCTGGTGTGTATGTTGGTTGTCATTAGTTTTGCATACACTTTTCAGGGGCTGCGAGTTCCAGCAAACCGAATTGCTGGGCCGAGTGGTAGGCACGTGTTTTAAGGCTTTTTGTGTGTAATGTGCGATAGCTTCAGAAGGGTGATACTAGTTTACGTTCCCACCGGCAGCATGTGGAAGGTTTGTTTCCTATCCTTGTCAAAGCCACGTCACAGTTAACGTTTTTGTTTTTTTTTTTTTGAGATAGAGTCTCACTCTTGCTCGGGCTAGAGTGCCGTGGCGTCAGCCTAACTCACAGCAACCTACAACTCCTGGGCTCAAGTGATCCTTCTGCCTCAGCTTCCTGAGTAGCTAGGACTACAGGCATGTGTCACCATGCCTGGCTAATTTTTTCTATATATTTTTAGTTGGCCAATTAATTTATTTCTATTTATAGTAGAGACGGGGTCTTGCTCTTGCTCAGGCTGGTTTTGAACTCCTGACCTTGAGCAGTCCTTCCACTTGGCCTCCCAGTGTGCTAGGATATCAGGCGTGAGCCACCGCGCCCGGCCAGTTTAACGTGTTTTTTTTCTACTTATTCCTTGCCCTTAGTCTCCCAGCCAGATTGTGAGGGAACTCTTTAAGGACAGCAGTCATTTCTTTCTGCCTCTCCTTGGTGTTGGGGCATTAGAGGCCACTCAGGAAGCATAGGCAGGGCAGGGACTGGCGGAAAACAATTCCTTAGTGATCCGCCTCTGACTCGAAAGTTGTAGAACCTTCTAGAAGCACAGCCACGTACCTCTACTAGAGCGTTGGTGAGTCGGGTTTTTTATTTTGAGTCGCTCATGACAAACGCTTTTGAAATCTTTTTAAATAGATCCTGGAGTCAAAATCTACGGCTGCGCGTTACCCCCTGGAGGTTCTGAGGGATCCGAGGTATTGTTTGGGATGTCCGACCTTCGGTTACTTTATGACTGTGAAATTTTAAGGTCAGAAAAATATCTTTAGAAATCAGATCCCATTAGTGTACATGGAAACATTCGCACCCTAAAACACTATCCTGGTAACGTCAGATAATGTATTATGCCAGCACCGTGGACGTCCCAAGTCTGATTAGATTCATAAACCGGAGCTGTTAGCGTTAGTATCGTCTGTGACACAGGGACGTGAGTTAGTCATTTGTTAACAGCACAAATGAAAACTTGATAATGGCTCTGTTTGGAATTAATCACCAGATCTAACATAGTATTTTATGGGTTCGCTTTGTGCCATGCAGTGACTCACCCTAATTCCACTCTGCCCATTGGAAATAGGATGAAGATGATGACTACCTGCCCGACAATGTGACCTTTGCACCCAAGGATGTCACACCCGTGGATTTCACACCCAAAGACAACGTGCACGGACTGGCTTACAAGGGCCTGGACCCCCACCAGGCCCTGTTTGGAACTTCGGGAGAACGGTTCGATCTTTTCAGTGGGGCGTCTGAGGGAGCCGGCGGTCTTCTTGGAGATGTTGGACTGAGTAAAGGAAGAAAATTGGGAATTTCAGGCCAGGTAAACGGGTTTCTGTGTCTTAAAGGTGGAGCCATTGACAAATGCGGGTACGCTTTCCTGACTACATTCGCCCCATGGCAGGCGCTCAGGAAGGTTGTGTTTTCCTCAGGATTGATTCTGGAGACATCTGAAACACACCTTCCTGAGTTTAATGTCAGCTCCCGAGAGCCCGTGCCCGACGTTCTTGGTGGAGGTTGTGTGTTCTCAGGGAAGAGGGTGGCTTTCTCACTCCAGTGGAGCTGAGTCGAAAACAACCGTCACCGCTGTGATTTCGTAATGGTCAAATTGCAGTCTGCCTCTCCGAGTTTAGGTCCAACTTATAGGTCCTCTTGGACTATTTCCTAGTGTTGTGAGCCTTAAGTCAGGAACCCTGGGGTAATTTTTATTCAGGAGACTTCCTTTTCTTTTTTTTTTTTTTTTTTTTGAGACAGAGTCTCGCTTTGTTGTCCAGGCTAGAGTGAGTGCCGTGGCGTCAGCCTAGCTCACAGCAACCTCAAACTCCTGGGCTCGAGTGATCCTTCTGCCTCAGCTTCCTGAGTAGCTAGGACTATAAGCATGCGCCACCACGCCCGGCTAATTTTTTCTGTATATATTAGTTGGCCAATTCATTTCTTTCTCTTTTTAGTAGAGACGGGGTCTCGCTCTTGCTCAGGCTGGTTTTGAACTCCTGACCTTGAGCAATCCGCCCGCCTCGGCCTCCCAAGAGCTAGGATTACAGGCGTGAGCCACAGCGCCCGGCCGTGATCTAACTTTTTAGATTGTCAAATGCATCTGAAAAAATATACCTGTTGAAGTAATGTAAGTATCACAGAAGAATATATGAGTGTGAGCATCACTCCCCCTAATAATGTCTGTTTTATGTTTCTAGAAGGAGAAAAGCAGTGCACACAGTTTTTATTTATTTATTTTTTTGTTTTTTGTTTTTTTGAGAGAGAGTCTCACTGTGTTGCCCAGGCTAGAGTACCGTGCTGTCAGCCTAGGTCACAGCAACCTTACACTCCTGGGCTCAAGCGATCCTCCTGCCTCAGCCTCCTGAGTAGCTGGGACTACAGGCATGCGCCACCACGCCCGGCTAATTTTTTCTGTATATTTTTAGTTGGCCAATTCATTTCTTTCTCTTTTTAGTAGAGACGGGGTCTCGCTCTTGCTCAGGCTGGTTTTGAACTCCTGACCTTGAGCAATCTGCCCACCTCGGCCTCCCAGCATGCTAGGATTACAGGCGTGAGCCACCGCGCCTGGCCTGCACACGGTTTTTAGGCGTAGCTTGTGTCACGGTTGTGAACACAAACTCTGAATTCAGACAGTCCGCCTGGGGTCCCCAGTCCTGGCCTCCCCGTTTATCGGCTGTCACCCTGGGCGAGCTGCTTAGCTGTTCTGTGCCTGGGAGTCCCTGTCTGGAAAAGAGGATGACAGGGACATGCCAGCTCATGGAGACTGCACTGTACATACAGGGCTTAGCGTGGGCTTGGCGCACAGCAGGCATGTCTTGGTCTTGGAGCCCTGTGTCATCACTGCCACAAAATGAAGCCAGGGTTCTGTAGAAGATGCTGGAAGGTGTGCGCCAGTGTTAGCGGGTGTTACCTCTGGGTGGCACCTAGGCTGCTTGTGCTTTCTTCTACCTGTGGTTTCTGAGTTTTCTACCGAGACTGTGAGGTATTTTTATAATTTAAAAGAAGACATATAATATTAATATATCAATCATCATGCTATATTATAATTAATATATAATTATAGGTAACATATCATTTGTGTAACTACTACTACTACTACTAATACATTTGTATAACTACTGATACTTCATTAATATTTTCAATAATATATAAATTGATATATAATAATTGTTAAACATACATTAAAAACTGGTAGAAGGAAATTGATAATACATTAGAAACTGGTAGAAGGAAATTGATAATATATATTAATATATTAATACCAGCTATTATGTTAATTATCAATAATATATTAATAACATTAACATGCAATTCTATAATAATTCATAACCTATAATAACATATATATTTAAATCTGCCTCTGAGCTGTGTCTTTCGCTTTTCCCTTATCTAGCACCTCTCCCACGGCTGATTGAGTCCCACCTGGCTCCCGTCAAGCCCTGGGCAGCCGCCTCCCCCTGAGCCCCGCCTCCCCTTATCCCTCTCTGCTGTGGTCCCTGTCCCCCAGCTGCCCCTTCTGTCCCACCCCGGAGCCATGGCATCCATAGTTCTGACTGTGCTTTTTCATTCTGTGAATCTGTATTTTACCCAGTCCCAGGTTGATTTTGGAACTGTTCCCCCTTTATTCCATGATCAACAGTCTATAATGAATATTCTCATGCGTCTGATTTATGTCCACTTATTTAGAATTCTTCAGAATAAATCCATGAAAATGAAATTTTTGGGTTGTAAAAGAATTCAGAATTCCAAGAATGCAAAATTTAATCCCAAATTACCCTACAGAATTTCAGGAAGTTGTAGAAGCTGGTGGAAAAGTTCAGTGTGAGTTAAAATATGAAGTATGACTCCGTGGGGAGGGTAGTGGCCTCGGTGCGATGAAAACCTTAGCTCGCCTGCACTGTGGGCTGCTCCTGCCTCAGGACGAACCACCTAGCTTATGTGAGCTCATGGCTGTCGTGCCGAAGGGGCTTTTTGGTGCCAAAAGGCAGTTCCTGTGTACAGATGTCTGGCGGGACTGCCGTATACAGGGAGGCCTTGAGAACCAAACCAAAGGGCCTCTGTGTCGTCAGGGCTTCTCCCCGGCCGGTGGACAATCCCAAGCTCCAAGTCAGAGGGCGTTGGTCATCCAGTTCCTTAAGTTTCTGATCTTTATCTCTTGTCAGAATTTCATTTGAGGAAAAGACAAAGTACCTTTCAGTTTGTGCTCAGATTAGATTAGGGGCTGGCCGGGCTGTGCGGCCTCCCGCGCCGTGTTTGGGCCGTTGCTAAGGAACGTGCTCGGTCATCCCTGCGGCCCTTCACCCGGTTCCTCTCCAGTTATGCCTGTGTTCCTACCCCGGCTTGTCCTCTGGTGGTGCCTCCTGCGATCTTTTACTCCGTAGAGGATGTCCCTGGGTGCCCCCCGGCTGAGGGCCTTAGCACTTTCTCAGGGAATGGCGTTGAGAGACTTGTCTTGGGGAGCCACGGCCGCCTGTCCTGGGCAGCCTGGTCCCCCGGGGGTGGCGTGGGCCGGGCGCCAGCCACTGAGTCAACAGAGGTGTGAGGCTCTGCGGGCCGTTCCTTCTTCCTCTTTGCGTGATGTCACGTGTGACGTGCACTGTTTATGTCCTTGGAGATAACGAGCTGATGTCTTTTGTCTCATTCTAATTATCTCTACTTCTGGAATTAATCTATTACATCATTTTTGTAGAATCAGAGAAGGATCTTCGATATGTTGGCAAAATTTTGGATGGATTTTCCTTGGCGTCTAAACCTTTATCTTCTAAGAAAGTAAGAAAACTTTTTTTTTTTACTGGTTTAGTTCTTTAAATATTTGCTGCTATGTAATCTGAGTTATTATATTAACAGTTGAAAAGATAAGTAAATTCTGTTTTCAAAAAGTCAACAGCTTTGCTTCTTTTTTTTTTGAGACAGAGTCTCGCTTTGTTGCCCAGGCTAGAATGAGTGCCGTGGCGTCAGCCTAGCTCACAGCAACCTCAAACTCCTGGGCTCAAGCGATCCTCCTGCCTCAGCCTCCTGAGTAGCTGGGACTACAGGCATGCGCCACCATGCCCGGCTGATTTTTTCTATATATATTAGTTGGCCAATTAATTTCTTTCTATTTATAGTAGAGACGGGGTCTTGCTCTTGCTCAGGTTGGTTTCAAACTCCTGAGCTCAAACGATCCGCCCACCTCGGCCTCCCAGAGAGCTAGGAGCTTTGCTTCTTGATGCATGGGAAAGAAAAGCAACAGCTTAGTTACTGGTGATTGTCTGAGATAAACGTGTTCTGTACTAGAAATGTCAGTGGCCACAGTGTGTTCAAAACAGCTCATTGCTGATGTTTTAAATCCAAACTTCGAGTAATAGTTATTTCCATTAAATGAGACATACATAAGAAACTGGTTGAAGAATGAAATTGATATAACCCTAGGGGCAGGGTAACTCCACGAAGAGTAGGAAAGGTTCAAAAGGCGTACTAGCCCGCAGCCCTGACTGCAGGTGTTCCCGAAGCTGGTGGCACGGTCCCTGTAGAGGGACAGAAGCCGCCTGCAGGTGGGCAAAGTCCCGAGGAAAGCTCCATGTACCTTCCCAGACAGTCGTGTTTTTGGGAGAGTTTTGCGAATTTCTGCTCTTAGGCCTCTTCGTCAAAGTGACCTGCTCACGGGCACGTGCTCGGGAGGGGCTGGGTTTGCCGGCAGGCTCGGGAGGGGCGCCTGGCCATTTGCCTCCTCAGCAATCCTGTTTTCGATCGTCCTATCCTTTAATCAGATTTTTGTTTTTCATTCAGCAGACATTTGCCAAGTACCTCTGAAGCATGACCCGGGGTTCTCCAGAGCAGGGGAGGCCAGGGGTTCCTGGGGAGCTGCTGGGGGAGGAGGGCTTTGGGCGGGAGCGATGCAGAGGAGGGCTGTCACCCGGCCTCTCACAGACGGGCAGGTGCTCTGGGTCTGGAGGCCCCAGGGAACCATGGGGAGAGAAACGCTTCTGATCTAATGGAGGAGATAAAGAGTAGTCGAGACACCCCCCTCCTTTCTGCCTTGGTCCTCTGGGTTTTTGTGAGGACGTGACACGAGAGTATTTTCTGGCTGATGCAGAAGTCTGTTTCAAGAAGGTGAGCGGGCTAAGATGATAAGACATGAGTTTTTTGACAATACCACTTTTTTTTGAGACAAGATCTCACTCTGTCACCCCAAATTAGAGTGCACTGGCCTGATCACAGCTCATTGCAACCTCAAACTCCTGATCCTCCTGCTTCAGCCTCCCAAGTCGCTAGGGCTACAGCCACCACACCCAGCTAATTTTTCTATTTTTAGTAGAGATGGGGTCTCGCTCTTGCTCAGGCTGGTCTCGAACTCCTGACCCCAAGCTATCCTCCTGCCTCAGCTTCCCAGAGTGTTAGGATTACAGGCGTGAGCCACCGTGCCTGGCCAATAATACCCCTCTTTTATGGACTTTCTTCATGCTAGGTGCTCAACCCAGGCTGCACCTTAAAACCACCTGGGGAGCTTGGGATACTCCAATTATATGAGACTTTCTGGGGGGGATGCAGGCATCAGTATTGTTAAAACTGCTCAGGTGAGTCCGGTGTGCACCTGGACTAAGAGCCACAGGCAGAGAGGGGTCAGCGCTCTCCTGCTACCGAGTTCAGAGTTGACTCCGCTCCAGCTTCCAGGTTGTTTAAAAATCAAGAAAACAGCTACATAGCAGTGTCCTAAAACATGTGTTTGTTAGACAAGAGCAAGGGAGACCATTTAGTACAGCTACTTAAAATTATCTAATACTTTCTTTCAACTTACCTGTTTAGCTATCATTGATGCCTGTCAGTATTAAAAATGCCCAGATTTCCCAAATATATTTCAATTTCAGTTCCATTAGCTTCTAAATTGAAAATACCTTGGATCAAAAAATAAGACCTTCCCACATCGTCTAGCGGTTAAAATTTTTAAAATAAAAAAAAAAAAAAAAAAAAAAATAAGACCTGAAGCTTCAATTTGGAATTGAAATGTAACCGGAAAAAAAAAAATACTGAATTTAAAAGTAACCAGTTATTTTTGTTTTTCTATGCTTTGAATCACAGTTTTCTAGATTTTCTCCCTTATAGCACGCCAGTTCTGCACGTAGGCCATTACCTTGTGTGATCTTGCATATTGGCATCTCTTTGTGGACGCGGGCAGGGGGTCAAAGGGCTGAGCACTGGCCCGGGAAGGGGCTGGGTTAACGGTGCTCAGCAGTAATGGGTTTTTTGTGGTTAACTCAAACGTGGTCTTTAAACCTGTGTTTTCTGCATTTTTTTTTTTGTTGTTTTGTTTTAAGATCTACCCACCCCCTCAGCTGCCACGAGACTATCGACCGGTGCATTATTTCAGACCCGTGGTCGCTGCGAGCTCTGAGAACACCCACTTGCTCCAGGTATTGTCCGAGTCAGCAGGAAAGGCAGCACACGACCCGGGGACACATAGTAGGCACCAGCTGAATGCCTCCAAACGGGCAGAACTGCTAGGAGAGACGCCTATGAAAGGTATGTGCCATGGAGAAGATGGGGATGGTTACATTTAAAATAATCTGAGTCATCAAAATCAAGATGGAAAGTTGTCGTTTTCCCGCCTCACCCTTGGGCCACTCACGTGCCCTGTCCGTGTCCAAATGGTAACCTCCGTTCTTGCCAACTATAAAGTAGGAGCCTGATTATTTTATGACTGTCTGTTTCACAGAGATATATGAATATAAAGGAAATACTAAACATGAAAAAAACTCATCTCCAATTATGCAAGTTTGTGATATTGAGAATGTGTGGCGGAGAAATGTCCGTATGGTTGTTTTGTGACACTTTTCATCTCTTATTACTGTTTTTATTTTAGGCTCAGCTACTTCAGTGTTAGAATTTCTGTCTCAAAAAGACAAAGAGAGAATCAAAGAAGTGAAGCAGGCAACCGACCTCAAAGCAGCTCAGCTCAAGGCCCGGAGCCTGGCCCAGAGCGCCCTGAGCAGCGGACCCCAGCCTTCCCCTCCAGATGCCAGACGCAGCTCTTGGCACCTGCCACCGGGTGCGGGGGCAGCCACCACAAGAGCCAGCAACTTCAAACCTTTCGCAAAAGATCCGGAAAAGCAGAAACGATACGAAGAGTTCTTAGTGCATATGAAGCAGGGTCAGAAAGGTGGGTGCCAGGCCTGGACCTCCCGCATCTCAGCCAGGGAAGGGTGGCATTCTAGTCCTGGGTTTAAAGTTAAGATTTCCTGTTCTTGCCAGTGTTTTTGCCTCCTCTTGCTGCAAACAGGGCACAGGTTTCAGGCCCTGGCTCTTGACCTCAGAAAGCAAGAACACTAACTAGCTCTTGTTTCTCTGTATCTCAGGCCCAAAGATAGCTATTTGAGTAGAGAACGTGCCTATGCCTTGGCGTAGCAAATGCTGAATTACAGACTGTGTACTGTTTGCAAATGCTTCACTTCTTTTTTTTTTTTTTTTTTTTTTTTGAGACAGAGTCTCACTTTGTTGCCCAGGCTAGAGTGAGTGCCGTGGCATCAGCCTCGCTCACAGCAACCTCAAACTCCTGGGCTCAAGCGATCCTCCTGCCTCAGCCTCCCGAGTAGCTGGGACTACAGGCATGCGCCACCATGCCCGGCTAATTTTTTTTGGATATATATTAGTTGGCCAATTAATTTCTTTCTGTTTATAGTAGAGACGGGGTCTCGCTCTTGCTCAGGTTGGTCTTGAACTCCTAAACTCAAACGATCCGCCCGCCTCGGCCTCCCAGAGAGCTAGGATTACAGGCGTGAGCCCCCGCGCCCGGCCAAACGCTTCACTTCTTTAAGTGTTGCATTTCACACCAGTGTCATCTCCCACTTTGTCTTAAGATCCTAACCCTCTACTCCTAAATCATAGTTTAAAATTTGACCTAGAAAGGTCATTGGCTGTTGAATCATTACATAGGGTGAAAAATCACTGTGTCATCTACAAAATAAAGATGGTAAGGATGAGGAAAGAGATTGCTGTTACATGTAGGAGTCCTTGTGAGAGGTGGTCAGCAAATTGTGTTGTTTTTCAAAAACAGATCTTTAGGGGAATATAAATTCCCTTTAATGTGCCTTTATTCTCCACCAAGAACCCACGTCACTAATGTTTATTTGTTAAATTAAAAGAAAAAGGTTGGGAAAAGACTTTTTTTCTGCCGAAACATAGAGGTGAAGTTGGGATGAACTCATCACTGTCTGGGGGGGGTGACAAGTTCTTTGCATCTGAAGATTTCACCAAGCATTAGCCTCCCAAATGTTGTTGTTTTTTTTTGAGACAGAGTCTCACTTTGTTGCCCGTAGATGAGTGCCGTGGCGCAGGCCTCGCTCACAGCAACCTCAAACTCCTGGGCTCAAGCGATCCTTCTGCCTCAGCCTCCCGAGTAGCTGGGACTACAGGCATGCGCCACCATACCCGGCTAATTTTTTCTATATATATTAGTTGGCCAATTAATTTCTTTCTATTTATAGTAGAGACGGGGTCTCGCTCTTGCTCGGGCTGGTTTGGAACTCCTGACCTCGAGCAATCCGCCTACCTCGGCCTCCCAGAGTGCTAGGATGACAGGCGTGAGCCACCGCGCCCGGCCCCTAATCGTTTTTTCTCTTTTGTATTTGGTAGGCAGAATTGAGTAAGAGAGAGAGAGCGGGGTTACCTGCCAAGTACCTCCCCCCATGAAAGAGGGAGGCAGTGGTGCCCAGTAGGCATTCTCCTTTAAGCCCCAGGTTTTTCCTAGAAGTGAGACGGTTTCTGGTTGTCCGCTCCGCAGACGCCCTGGACCGCTGCCTGGACCCCAGCATGACCGAGTGGGAGCGCGGCCGCGAGCGCGACGAGTTCGCTCGGGCGGCCCTGCTGTACGCGCCCTCCCGCTCGACCTTGTCCTCCCGCTTCACGCATGCCAAGGAGGAAGACGACTCAGACCAGGTTGAAGTCCCCCGAGACCAAGAGGTCTGTTGCTATTACTTCCCTCCCTGGTGATCTTTCAAATGAAAACACTGTGTAGCCGAACACTTTGAACCCCTCAGTGAAAAGACCCGCATACACGTGGCATGGTAGGCTAAGGGGCCGTTCGATGCCTTAGTTTCCAATGCAGTTGAGCAAGAATGTTTCAGTGCGAGCTCTTTCCGTACTTCTGGGAAATTGCTTGGAAATTTCTGTATGGAAGAGCGGTCGGGGCAACTGACTGACCACTTGGTGAGACAGATTGTCGTCTTTCCCCAGAACGATGTCGGGGACAAACAGTCGGCCGTGAAGATGAAGATGTTTGGGAAGCTCACCCGAGACACGTTTGAGTGGCACCCTGACAAGCTTCTGTGTAAGAGGTTTAATGTCCCTGACCCTTATCCAGAGTAAGTTGGATGAACCTGCCTGTGCCCATCAGCACGAATCGTGCTCCCCACGTTAGCGCCAACTTCTCCTCTGACGCTCGCAGAAACTCCCTTCTTCTATTCTAAATGAGCTTACTTGTATATCATCAGAGGTGCAAATTTGCAGATTTGCTTTAATGAATTACTGCTATAATTTGTTACAAAAAAGGCAAACACCCCGATAGCAAACTTCGTTCTGTCTTGAAGATACGAAACTCAGATATGTCGCATTACAGAAGCGGAATGCCTCTGCTGTTCGCTACCTTTTTAATGCTGCTCATATGGTTTCTATTTAAAATGTTGCTGATATTTTCTAATTCTCTTTATGAGAGTTCTATATCTTGATCTCTGATTATAAACACTTCACGAAAGCATATACAGTTGAAACAGAGACCTTGTCATAAAATTTAGGTATATTTTTATCGGTAGAACTTTTCCTCAGTGGCAACCCATTTTCAAAGTTAAATTCTTGCCCTTACCATAATAAGGGAAAACTTATTATACCTATAGGAAACCATTCTGAATTCTTTTTTTTGTTTGTTTGAGATAGAGTCTCACTCTGTTGCCATGGCTAGAGTGCCATGGCGTCAGACTAGCTCACAGCAACCTTAAATTCCTGGGCTCAATCAATCCTTCTGCCTCAGCCTCCCAGGTAGCTGGGACTACAGACATGTGCCACCATGCCTGGCTAATTTTTTCTATATATTTTTAGTTGTCCAAGTAATATCTTTCTATTTTTAGTAGAGATGGGGGTCTCACTCTTGCTCAGGCTGGTTTTGAACTCCTGACCTTGAGTGATCCTCCCTCCTCGGCCTCCCAGAGTGCTAGGATTGCAGGCATGAGCCACCGCCCCTGGCCCCATTCTGAATTCTTAAACTGCCTTGAGAAGCAAAGGCATCTTTTTATTTTTTTGAGACAGAGTCTCGCTTTGTTGCCCAGGCTAGAGTGAGTGCCGTGGTGTCAGCCTAGCTCACAGCAACCTCAAACTCCTGGGCTCAAGCGATCCTCTTGCTTCAGCCTCCCCAGTAGCTGGGACTACAGGCATGCACCACCATGCCCGGCTAATTTTTTCTATATATTTTTAGTTGGCCAATTAATTTCTTTCTATTATAGTAGAGACGGGGTCTCGCTCTTGCTCAGGCTCGTTTTGAACTCCTGACCTCGAGCAATCCGCCCGCCTCTGCCTCCCAGAGTGCTAGGATTATAGGCGTGAGCCACCGCGCATGGCCACAAAAGCATCTTAAGGGAGCTTTTGGCCACATAGAATAGCCGGTGGGAAATAAGAGATGGAAGGTGCATTTTATCCTAGCAGTTGTTATTAAAATGACATTCTTCTTCCCAACTCTCAGTTCAACTCTAGTTGGCTTACCAAGAGTGAAGCGTGACAAATACTCAGTCTTCAACTTTCTGACGCTGCCAGAGACGGCCGCCTTGCCCACAACTCAAACACAGAGTGAAAAAGTGCCACAGCTCCAAGGGCCTGACAGTGAGTAGGGGCTTCCTGGGTCTCTGGCTGACTGGGGGCGTCACCTTTGGCCCGCTGGGAGGACAGAGGTAAAGGCCGTCTGGTCCTAAAGGTGCGCACGGCGCTCACTCTCCCTCTATAAGAGAATCGCTCCTGTTAATAAATGAGCTCATGTCGGTCCAGATGTTTTCTCTCTCTTTTTTTTTTTTTTTGAGACAGAGTCTCCCTTTGTTGCCCAGGCTAGAGTGAGTGCCGTGGCATCAGCCTAGCTCACAGCAACCTCCAACTCCTGGGCTCAAGCGATCCTCCTGCCTCAGCCTCCCGAGTAGCTGGGACTACAGGCATGCACCACCATGCCCAACTAATTTTTTGTATATATATTTTTTAGTTGGTCAATTAATTTTTTCATATTTTTAGTAGAGGGGTCTTGCTCTTGCTCAGGCTGGTTTCGAACTCCTGACCTTGAGGGATCCACCTGCCTCGGCCTCCCAGACTGCTAAGATTACAGGCGTGAGCCACCGCGCAGGGCCTAGATGTTTACTCTCTGGGGTTGACACTGCGCCTGCCACAGCCCCTGCCTTGCACGGCACCCAACCCGAGCTAGACACATTGATGTTCTGAGAGAAAGAAAAGCAGGAGTGAAGAACTTGCCTTCTGTGTTTGCTAAAATTCTGATGTTATGCCCGTGTCCTGTCTTTCAGAATCAAGGAAACCATCCAGGTGGGATACGTCTAAACAAGAAAAGAAAGAAGACTCCATTAGTGAATTTTTAAGTTTGGCTCGATCAAAAGTTGGCCCACCTAAACAAGAGTCCAGTCCCTTAGTAAACAAAGAGAAGGAGTGTATGCCGGAGTCACTCTCGGATAAGGTATTCGGGGCTTTGGGGTTCTCTTTGCCAGGCGGGCTGTGGCCTTTGCCTTTCTCTAAGGCGATGTTTTCTTCTCGTCGCTCGGTAGCCGGGGTGGGTCACTGGGAAGGGCCAGGAACACTCTAGACTTCCTGGGCCATACCGTCCCTATTGCAACTGTTCATTCCTGCTGTTGAGTGAAAAAAAAACAGGCAAATGTGTGAACCGCTGAGCATGAAACTCTATTCTTGGTGACAAGCAGCAGGTGGGATTTGGCCCATGGGCTGCAGTTTGCTAACACCTGCTCTGCAGTCTAACAATTCAATCACAGCTGTAATCATCTCAGGAGAGGCTATATAACTCTCTCCCTAGAGTGGCTATCACTTAGCCTTAACCGTAGAAGCGAAACTCAATGTATTTGTATCGGACAATATAATTTTCCAAATAGTAAGTATTCTCTTGCAAAGAAAAGAGAGAAAATATCCATTGGAGTTTTCAAAATGACTGCTTTAGTGACTAAAAGTTAAACTTAATAAAAAGTTGGCTTTTATTTCTATTAACAGCTTAATTTAAAAATGGTTGTTATATTTAAAAAATTTGAGTTTATTTTGTTTGGGGTTTGCTGAGTTGCTCAAATCCCTAAGTTTGAAAATAGGACAGAGAGGCACTGGGCTGTACTACGTGCATCTTTTGCAAGTCCAATTAATGACCAATCTCCATGAGAGGCTCCAGTTGCTTTGAGCAAACCAACACACGCTACGGTTATTGACTCAGAAACCCCACAAAAATCAGTGCTGTGGGGGTAATCATTGCCCAGTTAGGTGGAGCGTGGTTCTGGGTACCCGTGTCCACGAGTATAAACACAAGTGTGTGTGTGCGTCTGTGTGTTCTAGAATGCCGGCTCCCTTTTGCCCTCGTTTCTTTATTCCTAACTCTCGCTTCACTGCCAACGCAGGTGGCAAGCAAAGGCGTGGACCCGCAGGCTGAAGGAGGAGGCGGCCGGCCGTCCATGGATCTGTTCAAGGCTATCTTTGCCAGCTCCTCGGATGAGAAGTCCTCGTCCTCTGAGGACGAGCAGGGTGGCAGCGAGGACGATCAGGAGGTCACTGGGGAAGCCGACCTCCAGGGTCCCCAGGAGACTGACTTGGGGGAACCACCACCTGTGGCTCAGGGTACGGCAGCGTTTCAGGCTTGGGGATCTAAGGGAGAAAATGACGCTGTCTCCAGGGAAGCCGCTGCTTTGTTGAGTCCATAATTTTAAACCAGGAGCGCTAGCAGTCGAGGATGTGTAATCTTTTATGTTTTTAATTGGGGTGGAGCAGAGTTGTTTTCTTTATCTGGTGTAAAGATCTCTATTTTTTAGCTAGCTGTGGTTGGTAATTTTCTAGCTTATCCTAGGTGAGAAGAATTTAAAAACAGAAAAAAAAAATGTTTATTTAAAAACATACTATAATCCTAGCACTCTGGGAGGCTGAGGCGGGCAGATCGCTCGAGGTCAGGAGTTCAAAACCAGCCTGAGCAAGAGCAAGACCCTGTCTCTACTATAAATAGAAATTAATTGGCCAACTAATATATATAGAAAAAATTAGCCGGGCATGGTGGCGCATGCCTGTAGTGCCAGCTACTCGGGAGGCTGAGGCAGGAGGATCGCTTGAGCCCAGGAGTTTGAGGTTGCTGTGAGACCGGGAGTTTGAGGTTGCTGTGAGCTAGGCTGATGCCGCGGCACTCTAGCCCGGGCAACAGAATGAGACTCTGTCTCAAAAAAAGAAAAAAGATAGTTGTTTTTTTTTTTTTTTTTTTTAAAAAAAACCTAGCTGAGGAGGAGCTTTGAGGATTGTGGGGGAAATATTTGGTCATGAAGTGTGCAGGGCTTCTGCCTGCTGTCTGTCCTCACTGTACGGGGAATTGTATGCTCCGGATTCACAATCTGGCGGGCACTGCCTGGCGCACAGTAGGTCTCGGTTACCGGTGTCTGTTCCCGTCGCTGTGAGTCTGACACTGGGGTGGCAGCCTGTCCTGCTTGTTCTGTCCACCTGTGCTGGGAGTTTCAGGCCCAGAAAGGGGGCGTCTGGCACTTGCAGGGGTGGGAGAGTTCCAGATGCTTGCCTGGGCGGGCACAGCTTGCCATGTGAGCCTTAGGGTGTTCTGCCTGTGCCTGTCAGTTCCTGGTGCACTTGAGTATAATTTTGGGCGGCTTTCTCCAAAAAGTTATACACAGATATATAAAATATTTCTGAGTTTGAGAGTTCTCATCATAAAAGAAAAGAAATATAAAATATAATTTCTCCTTGGGTGATTGCAAATAGCAGCCTATTTCTTGTTTCCATGGAAGAAACTGTATTTTTTAAATTACAAAGTCATATGTACTTGAATTTTAAAATTTTAAAAGTATGGGAACGTAGAAAGCTCGAATCCTTTGTAATTCTACTTCCCAGAAATAACCACGGTTAACACTTGGGTGTGTTTTCTAGACTTTTTCCATTTTTATGGAAAACACACTAATCTGCGTAAAAAAAAACAAGGTTATTCATGTGAACATGATCATTTGTCTTATTTTTTTTTCTTTGGTAATTAATTTTGTGTGAAATTAGTCTCCCCCAGTTTTCTGGGATGGGACATAGTCTTATGTTCCTATTTATAAGTTCTTTTTTTTTTTTTTTTTTTTCATGAGACAGAGTCTTGCTCTGTCGCTCAGGCTAGAGTGCCATGGCGTCAGCCTAGCTCACAGCAACCTCAAACTTCTGGGCTCAAGCCATCCTCCTGCCTCAGCCTCCCAGGTAGCTGGGACTACAGGCATGCACCACCATGCCTGGCTAATTTTTTCTATATATTTTTAGTTGTCCAGCTAATTTCTTTCTATTTTTAGTAGAGACGTGGGCCTCGCTCTTGCTCAGGCTGGTCTTGAACTCCTGAGCTCAAACGATCCTCCTGCCTCGGCCTCCCAGAGTGCTAGGATTACAGGCGTGAGCCACCTCACTGGGCCTGTAAGTTCTTATTTCTTCTCAGATGTCCCTTCCTCGGGGACGTATTTTGACCCTTAGGCCTCAGGGGACCGTTGGTGCACTTGCCGCCCTGTGCTGTAGCCCCAGATGCATGTGGTCTAGTTTAGCAAAGCAGTGTACTAAAGCACACGTGATCTGGCGGCAACAGACATTAACGAAAGGCCCCGACACATGCACACTGGGCAAACGAATGACCTTCATACCCTGGTGTTTTTCAGCTCTGGAGCCAGCAGCACCCCAGGAGCCGGCACCTCCCTTGGCACCTTCCTTCCCGATACAAAAGATGCAGATGGACGAAAGGGAAGAGTTCGGCCCACGCCTGCCTCCCGTCTTCTGCCCCAGTGAGTGCTGGCTGGTCTCTTTGGTTCGCCTCTTTGCATGGACAGGTGTCTCCCTGAGACATGACACCCGCCCCTCTAATCCACGTGCCTGCTTGTTTCTGTTTTTCCTGTTTCCCGGCGGGCTTTGAAACCCGTTGTCTCCACCTAGTGCCTAAATGTCGGTTGCTGCTGTGTAGCTTCAGAGACCTTTAAACTTTTTTTCCCTTAATTTTAGATGTTTACAGTAGGGTCCTAAGTATCTTAAATTTTGTCACTAAGAGAGATAAAAGTTTTCATGTCCGACAGACCTTAAGGAACAAAGAAAGGAAAAAGAAAATAAAAATCTAGCATGCAAAGATGGCAAGGGAATTGCAGGGAGAAGGGTATTTTAAGACTCTTTCCTCCTTTGCCTGATACAGCAAATAAAACAAAATCTGTCCTTTCAGAAGTAAATACAGTCCACTCCCTCCCACAGTATCTATTAACAGCTTCTGTGCAGCGCCATCTTAAACTGGCATTTCGTGTTAAAATATGTAGACTGGTTTATCTTCTCCTTAAATTAAGGGCATGAACATCTGTAAGAAGGCCCAGATGTATAAATAACATATAATTTTATTATTTATAGTTTCCCACATACAAATACTGGTTTGGTTAACTAACCCAGCTTTCAAAGACATGATAAAAAGCAGAGACAAAAATGCACAAAGTTCTAAAAAATTGCAGTGAAAGTATTTCTCGTTTGCTTTAGTTATTCAGGTCCTTGGTTTAAAATTGGTGTCAGCACTTGAAAGCTAAGTTATCTGTGTCCCTTTCCCGTAATGCCCTTGATACCCTTGTAATAGTTAATAACTTAATTTGGTCTGTGGGTTATTTAGGGAAGTGGTTTTTTCAAAAACTAGCATTAAAAGAAAAGTTTTGGGAGGTCAAATTTTGAAAAATCTGACAAACTGTAGGACTACAAAGTAGCCACATCTTTACTGGGTTTGGAAAATATGCAAACTACTGAAGTACCTTGAAAAAATGATTGAATGACTTGCCCTGCTTCTACTATTATGAATTTTTGTTTTGATTACCTGGAAATTAATGCCCCAGGAAAACATTTTGGTCTGAATTTGGAGATACAGCATCTTGGCACATCCCTCTGCCTGAGTTATTTTTAATGATTACCTACATTATGTTTTGATGCTACTTTTTCAGTTGTTTCCACTTCTAAGACAAATTCTTATAAAATATGTTTTTGTAAAGAGAGGATACTGTAAGAAGAGCTGACATTTATGTGGCAGATTCTAGGCTGTGGGATTCATGTGCATGGTCCTGTCTAATCCACTCTGTGTCCCTAAGAGGACAGGGATTCTTATTATGCCCATTTATACACGGGGAAACTGAGGCTTAGGGAGGTCATGCAATGCACGAAACCTCACAGAGCTAGAGACACAGCTGAGTTTCCAGTGCCGGCCTGTCTCTGAGCTTACCTGAGGATGTTTAGTTACAGAAGGCGCATGGGCGTTCTGGTCTGACTTATCTTCACCTGGCAGATAAGGCTCTGGCTGGGCACTGATTGGATCAGGTTGTGTTGAAGTGTCTGGAGGCTTCTAAATATAGCTGCAAAGCAGTGTGCTAATCTGTTTGTGTATCAGGCAAATGCAAATCAAAGGGCAAGGGTTCTTCCTCGGTGATAAACATCTCTCCTGCAACGGGCTCCTGATTCGGTCATTTAGGAACTTACATTTTTTTCTAGTCAGTCTTTATTTTTCTCCTGTAGGTCCTGTGTTTATTACATTTGTATTTCAGATGCTCGTCAGAAACTTGAGGAACCCCAAAAAGAGAAACACAGAAAAAACAAAGAAAAACACAAGACCAAGAAAGAGCACAAACGAAAGAAAGAGAAGGTGAGAGGCCTCTGGGTGTCGCAGGATCAGTTTAGGGTCTGATGCTCCTGCTTCTGTTGTCCAGACTAGCCCCAGGAATGGCACAGATTGTTCGTCACCAGTCGAAGACAGAAACTTGTGACCAAGATGAGGCTGCACAGGTCTCTCTGTGCCTTAACAAAAATGTTGACATTTAATATAAATGTCTGATTTTTCATGAACCTTATTTTTCTTTCAGAGCAGAATATTTTAATTTGTTCTGTTGTACTTTAAACATATTTTTTTTTTTTGCCAGGCGCGGTGGCTCACGCCTGTAATCCTAGCTCTCTGGGAGGCCAAATCGGGGTGGATCGTTTGAGCTCAGGAGTTTGAAAGCAACCTGAGCAAGAGCGAGACCCCGTCTCTACTATAAATAGAAAGAAATTAATTGGCCAACTAATATATATAGAAAAAAATTAGCCGGGCATCATGGCGCATGCCTGCAGTCCCAGCTACTCGGGAGGCTGAGGCAGGAGGATCGCTTGAGCCCAGGAGTCTGAGGTTCCTGTGAGCTAGGCTGACGCCACGGCACTCACTCTAGCCTGGGCGACAAAGTGAGACTCTGTCTCAAAAATAAATAAATAAATAAATAAATAAAATTTTTGGGTGAACCTTAAAAAGCAGGAGAAAGGGCATTTAAGGATCTTACAGCAATGGCTGGTTACTAAATAATAAAGCAGTATTTATTGATTATTCGTTCAATGTTAAATGGAAGTTTTATTTTGAACATTTCTCAACTACTTGGTCATCATTACCGTCTGAGGCTTTAGCCCGTCACTTGCCATTTGAAGTAGAAGGAAACCTGGATGGCAGGAGCAGCCTGTGCCTTCACTTTCCACCTCTCTTATCTCATCAGCCAGGTTTCCTTTTGGGGTTTGGCACAGGCTTCTCATGAGGTTCATGTCATTGTTGGGGACCCAACTGTGGTCTGTGCTAGTGGAGAAAGAGTTGGAAACAGCTCCACTATTGGTTTCGATTTTTTTTGAGGCAGAGTCTCACTCTGTCGCCCAGGCTAGAGTGCCGTGGCATCAGCCTAGCTCACAGCAACCTCAAACTCCCGGGCTCAGGCGATCCTCCTGCCCCAGCCTCCTGAATAGCTAGGACTACAGGCATGCGCCACCATGCCCGGCTCATTTTTTCTATATATTTTTAGTTGGCCAATTAATTTCTTTCTATTTTTAGTAGAGACGGGAGTGGGGGGGTGTGTGTGGGGGGGTCTCGCTCTTGCTCAGGCTGGTTTCGAACTCCTGACCTTGAGCGATCTTCCTGCCTCAACCTCCCAGAGTCCTGGGATCACAGGCGTGAGCCACTGAGCCCGGCCAACAGCTCCACTATTGGCTGCCAGAAAAAAAGGATTCCCGAGCACAGAGGGTGGCTAAAGTTAAAAGGGGTGCTGGCGGGCTTGAACCCCAAATCCATGCGCCTTACCCGTGTGACTTCTGCTCGCTAACCTCCTACCAGTTTCCAGTGTGTGCTTTTCCAGGGTGTGTGCCACCCTGATGAGTAGTTCCTCAGATGCCTGACAGAATACAGCAGCCGTGTTCACAGGAGGCAGCACAGGGAGCTCAGCGGCAGGACGGGACCTCGCCTGTGCCTGCCTGGTTCTGCTGTGTCTGTCGCTAGAGGCCGGGCGGGGTCAGTCTGTGCGCAGCTGTCTGCGCCTGGTCTGCCCTGGCTAGGCTAACCCCTGCTCTCAATGAAGCTGAAAACTTTTGGTTTTGGCTAGGTACATTGTACCTGTAATGTCTGCACTTAGCAAGGTCAAAGTGGGAGGATCGCTTGAGTCTGGGAGTTCCAGACCAACCTGGGCAACAGAATGAGACCTGGTTTCTGCAAAAAACAAAAAACTTAGCCCGGCGCAGTGGCACGCACCTGTAGTATCAGCTGCTGGGGAGGCTGAAGCAGGAGGATCGCTTGAGCCCAGGAGGTCAAGGTTACAGTGAACTGTGATCGCACCACTGCACTGCAGCCTGGGTGACAGAAGAAGACCCTGTCTCTTTTTTTTTTTTTTTTTTTTGAGACAGTGTCTCACTTTATTGCCCAGGCTAGAGTGAGTGCCGTGGCGTCAGCCTAGCTCACAGCAACCTCCAACTCCTGGGCTCAAGCGATCCTCCTACCTCAGCCTCCCAAGTAGCTGGGACTACAGGTATGCGCCACCATGCCCGGCTAATTTTTTCTATATATTTGAATTTCTTTCTATTTATAGTAGTGACAGGGTCTTGCTCTTGCTCAGGCTGGTTTCGAACTCCTGACCTTGAGCGATCCGCCCGCCTCGGCCTCCCAGAGTGCTGGGATCACAGGCGTGAGCCACCGCGCCCGGCCAAGACCCTGTCTCTAATAATAATAACAGTAATTTTGTTTTTTAATGACTCCTTCAACCAAATGCCTCTTTAGCCTTTCATTATACTGGATTAGGGAGGAAAACACCCATTTGTCCTTCTCCACACACACACACACACACACACTTTCTTTTTTCTTACAGAAAAAGAAACACAGGAAGCACAAACACAAAAGCAAGCAAAAGAATAAAAAACCCGAGAGAAGTAGTAGTTCTGAAAGCAGCGACAGCAGTGACAGCCAGAGCGATGAAGAAGGAGCCGGAGACGTGTCGCCGGGGGAGTTGCTGAGACGGTAGGCGGTGGGCGGCTGGGCTTCAGGGACCTTGGAAGGCCTTTGAATACCCAGTGTCCTTGCCCAGGGGCACGCGTCAGAAATGAGAAATTTGTGTATTAACGAGGCTTTTAAAAAAGTTTTAATATTTAATTACATAAGCAGTATGTGGGTATATTATCGTTATGAAAATTCAGACCTTACAGATAAAGCTTATAGTGTTTGTTTTCTTTTTTTTGAGACAGAGTCTCGCTTTGGTGCCCAGGCTAGAGTGAGTGCCGTGGCGTCAGCCTAGCTCACAGCAACCTCAAACTCCTGGGCTCAAGGGATCCTCCTGCCTCAGCCTCCCGAGTAGCTGGGACTACAGGCATGCGCCACCACGCCCGGCTAATTTTTTCTATACATATTTTTAGTTGGCCAATTAATTTCTCTCTATTTTTAAGAGACAGGGTCTCGCTCTTGTTCAGGCTGGTTTCGAACTCCTGACCTTGAGTGATCCTCCTGCCTTGGCCTCCCAGAGTGTTAGGATTACAGGTGTGAGCCACCGCGCCCGGCCTAGAAGCTGCTTTTATAAACACTCCTAATGGGAGATGTGGGTGAGTGAGTCTGTGTGTGTTTTGGGGTGACGGAAGCTGCATTTTCGGAATGCAGATTAAACGATGACTCATCACAGTGGTCATCCTCTGTATTTATCGGGGCAGAAGTGCCACTCTGGCTCTGGGGAGCTCTCGCACCCTCAGCCCTCAGGGGGCTGTTTGGTTTTTCAGTTCGTGTCTAACTTCCTTTCTCTCTTCTGTTTTCTTTTCCAGGCTGAAATGTCTCCCACTAAGGAGGCAGTAATCGAATTCTGCCTGGCCCTGTCCCAGAATCACATCTCTTCCATGATGGAAGCTCATCGATTGTTCAGTTACTACATTGTACAGATTGTATTTATATGTAAATTCCTGCTGTAAAATAATTTTTTAAAACCTCGACATTTCAAAGACTGCCTGGAAAGGTTGCAGAAATTGATTTCTATTTTTGAGTTCACCTAGTGTCAGGGGGAAGAAACCCAGACTGAACAGTTTAATTAAAGTGGAATTTTTCTATTTTCTTCTTGATTTTTTTTTTTAATTTCCGGAAACTTTAAAAAAAAAATAAATGAAAAGCGAAGGCTTTTCTCTGGTTTTGTGATGGAGAGAGCCGGGTCCAGACGAGGACGGCCCGGAGTCTCCGGATGGCACGTGGGGGTGGAAGTTTGGAGCTTTCCTTCCCGCTGCCTCAGGCTGTCCGGGCAGATGTCTAAGTGTCTGAGACAGGCATGGGGACCAGGCAGGGATGACACACAGCCGGGTCACGTGGCTCTAGGTCCCAGCTCTGGGGCCACCCCATGTGCACTGAGAAAAGGCCTTTTCAAAAAGTAAAATGTAGAGAGGGTCTTTACATGAGGGAAGTAGCGTCACAGGTGAGAACAGTTTTAAAAAGAGAAAGAAGAAGGAAGAAAATCACTTCTAGTTTTACCACCCCAGAGGTGACAAGCCCTCAATAGTTTTGAATAATTCCATCTAGTCTTTTCTTTTCTTTCTTTTTTTTTTTTTTTTTTTTTTTTTTTGAGACAGAGCCTAGTTCTCACGATGTCTGGGTAATTGGCTAATTTTTTCTGTTTTTAGTAGAGACGGGGTCTCGCTCTTGCTCAGGTTGGTCTGGAACTCCTGAGCTCAAGGGATCCTCCTGCCTCAGCCTCCCAAAAGTGCTAGGATTACAGGCGTGAGCCACCAACGCTGGGCCCCATCTAGTCTCTTTCTAGCAATGGGGCTATTATCTGACAGGTGGTGACATTTTGTTCTCTGTTCCTTTCATGGGCACGGTGACAGTTTCCCTCATGCTCTTACTCGGGGGGTGGACCCACCCCTTATAGCTGCATCTTGTTTTGTCCAGGGGTCCTTCCGTAACTTACAGGTCGTCTGTGTGTGGTTGACAGGAAGGGGGTCAGCCAGGAGCCCTAACACGGTCAAGGGACGCGGAAATCACCCTGTGCCAGGGAGCCAGGAAAACCCACAGGGAGGGCCCAAGGGCAGGGGCCCTGTCTTGCTGGCTCCTGTCCAGAACCTGGAGCCCATTTCTCTAGCGGAAGCCGAGCGCTGCGCGGGGAGGTGGCTTTCACCCGCAGCGAGGTCGCCGGGCCGCGTAGCGCGGGCCTGGAGCCGGGGGCGCGCAGGGGCCGCGGTGCTGGCGCGCGGAGCCACCGTTCGGGCCAGGCCTGCGGGCAGCCACCGGCGGCGGCCTCCGTCCGAGATGGCCTCCCATCCGCTGTGCCCGGGGTCAGCCTCGGACCACGAGTGCAGGCTGCTGCCTTTGGCCCAGCCCATAGCACCGGTCTCCCGCAAGGCGTCCTGGGGCGTCCTGGTGAGAGCCGTGGGATGCTTCAAGCTGTCGCTCCCCGAGGGCCAGCAGATGCAGGCCGACCCCCTGGCCTTGGAAAAGAAGTTGTCGAGGCCCGAGGAAGAGGCGACACCGGCGGAGACGTTCTGGGGCGATCAGGAGCCCCTCTCCAAGGTCAGAGCTGCTTGCCCGTGGGGTGGGGCCGAGTGGCCTGATCCTCACACGTGGGGGTGGGGTGGGGGGGACCCACGGCGGGCCCACCTGGCTTTGCCAGGACCCCCCGCGCCCCTTGACCTGCTGGGCCTGCGCCCTGGCTGCAGCACATCCAGTGGGCAGGGCCGGCTGCCCGCGCTGCCGCCCGGGGGGATGAGGACCTTCCACGGGGCAGCGCGTCGGGCCCAACCCGGACCGAACCGGGAGGGACCCTGGGGTCTCGGCCCGGCTGCCCCGCCACGCTCCTAAATGCAGGCCCAGGGGGCGGCGACAGGGCCCTGGTCCCCGTTGGTGAGATAGAGTCAAGCTGAAGGAGAAGCAAAACTTAGAATAATCAAAAGTAAATAGGCCGGGCGCGGTGGCTCACGCCCGTAATCCCAGCACTCTGGGAGGCCGAGGCGGGAGGATTGCTCGAGGTCAGGAGTTCGAAACCAGCCTGAGCAAGAGCGAGACCCCCGTCTCTACTATAAATAGAAAGAAATTAATTGACAAACTAATATATATAGAAAAAATTAGCCGGGCATGGTGGCGCATGCCTGTAGTCCCAGCTACTCGGGAGGCTGAAGCAGCAGGATTGCTTGAGCCAGGAGTTTGAGGTTGCTGTGAGCTAGGCTGACGCCACGGCACTCACTCTAGCCTGGGCAACAGAGTGAGACTCTGTCTCAAAATAAAAAAAAAAAAAGAACCAACCAGAGGGCTCTGCCTCGGGCCGGGGCGGGGTCTGGGCGGGGGAGTGCGCACTGCGGAGTCGTGTCCTGGCCGCGGGTCCCTTGGCAGCTGCTCCCGGACACCAGACCCTCCCGCCCCGCACGTGCTCCCCGCGCCCTCCGCCCGCCCCGTTTGCCTGCGGCCCCTGCAGGCCAAGCGCGCGTCCCCGCGTCCCCTGCAGGCCAAGCGCGCGTCCCCGCGTCCCCTGCAGGCCAAGCGCGCGTCCCCGTGTCCCCTGGCGGCCAAGCGAGCGTCCCCGCGTCCCCTGCAGGCCAAGCGCGCGTCCCCGCGTCCCCTGCCGGCCAAGTGCGCGTCCCCGCGTCCCCTGCAGGCCAAGCGCGCGTCCCCGCGTCCCCTGCAGGCCAAGCGCGCGTCCCCGCCTCCCCTGCAGGCCAAGCGCTCGTCCCCCCTCGTCGCCACGTCCCCGTGTCTCCTGGTGGCCACCCGCGTCCCCGTGTCCCCGCACCCCTTAGAGGCGAGGTGTCCTCTCTGCGTGCCTCCAGACACCCCCCCTCCCACACCCCCTCATCCCTGCGCCTCCCGGTGACTTCGTGCGCCCCCAGAAGCGATACCCAAGCCAGTCGCCGTCCCCGCATCCCACGTCCCTCGTCCCACGTCCCTCGCTGCCCGGTCCCGCAACGTCCCCGAGAGAGGAAGAGGAGCGGGGCGTTTTCACGCTCGCTCCCTCTATGCGCCCAGTTTACTGAGATGTAATTCCCGTACCGAGTAACTGGCCCACGCAGGTGTACAGGGCCGGGTTTTAGTGTGTTCACAGAGGTCTGCAACCCTACAGGTCTGTCTTCGTGCCATTACCACCCTGCCTCTATTAGTGGCTTTGTAGTAAGTTTCAAAATCAGGACGTGTGAGTCCCCCATCTTTGTTTCTCTTTTTTCAACATTGTTTTGGCTGTTTTGAGTCATCTTGGATTTCCAGATATGTTTTAGGATTAGCTTGTCAATTTCTGCAAAGAAGTCAGCTTGGATTTTGGTAGGACGGTGTTGAAAATGGTAGGTCATGTTGTCATTTTACCTAATTAAGTCCCATCTATGAACATAGGATGCCTTTCCATTCATTTAGGACTTCTTTATTTTTATTTTTTATTTTTTTGAGACAGAGTCTCGCTTTGTTGCCCAGGCTAGAGTTAATGCCGTGGCGTCAGCCTAGCTCACAGCAACCTCAAACTCCTGGGCTCAAGCGATCCTCCTGCCTTAGCCTCCCAAGTAGCTGGGACTACAGGCATGTACCACCATGCCTGGGTAATTTTTTCTATATGTATTAGTTGGCCAATTAATTTCTGTTTTTATAGTAGAGACGGGGTCTTGCTCTTGCTCAGGCTGGTTTCGAACTCCTGGCCTCGAGCAATCCACCCACCTCGGCCTCCCAGAGTGCTAGGATTACAGGTGTGAGCCACCACGCCCGGCCTAGGACTTCTTTAATTTCCTCTAACAACTCTTGTAACTTTTAGAGTATAAGTTTTACACTTTCTTTGTTCAATTTATTCCTGCCTGGTCTTTATGATGCTTTTATAAATGGATTTTTATTTATTTATTTTTTTTTTGAGACAGAGTCTCACTCTGTTGCCCAGGCTAGAGTGAGTGCCGTGGTGTCAGCCTAGCTCACAGCAACCTCGAACTTCCTGACTCCTAGCAATCCTTCTGCCTCAGCCTTCCGAGTAGCTGGATCAGGCATGCGCCACCCACCGCCTGGCTTAATTTTTTCTTTATGTATTTTTAGTTGGCCAATTAATTTCTTTCTATTTGTAGTAGAGACGGGGGTCTCGCTCTTGCTCGGGCTGGCTTCGAACTCCTGACTTTGAGCAATCCTCCCGCCTCGGCCTCCCAGAGTGCTAGGAATTGCAGGTATGAGCCAGCATGCCCGGCCAGATGGAATTTTAAAATTCATTTTGTTCAGGTTGTTCATTGCAAGTGTTTAGGAATAAAACTGATTTTTGTATGTCGACCTTGTATCCTGTAACCTTGTTGGACTCACCTGGTCTACCCTTTTCTCAGATCCCATTTAAAATTCTGCGTGGGCACGAGCACTTTGTCAGTTCCTGCCACTTCTGTGTGGACGACACGAAGCTCCTCAGTGGCTCCTACGACAGCACCGTGAAGCTGTGGGTAGGTGGCCCCGCCGTTAGGTTCTCCGGGAACCAAAGCATCTCGTTAGCCTAGACACCTCTTGCGGGGAGCCCCCGGCACTGCGTTCCCAGGCACTCACAGACCCCAGAGGTCCGTAAAGGCCTTTTGAGCAAAGTGCAAAGACCAGGAGAAAGTAAGGGCCCGCCCTAGGTGAAGTTAGTGTAGCTTCTGGAAACAGGTGGCCTCCGGAGCCCAGGCCACCAGCCTAGACGTGTCTGGCCCCGGTGAGCTCCTCTTTGGGATCCCTGCTGGACTTTCCTGCCACTAGGCTTTGAGCAGGGCCTGCTGGGTTCACCCAAACATGACCCCATTGTTTCCACTGCTAGGAGCAGGGGTTGGGGTTCTGGTCAAAGGGTGTGAACTTTTTTAAAAAAGTTTTTTTTTTTTTTTTTGAGCAGAAGGTCTCCACTTTGTTGCCCAGGCTAGAGTGAGTGCCGTGGCGTCAGCTACGCTCCACAGCAACCTCAAACTCCTGGCTCAAGCAATCCTCCTGCCTCAGCCTCCCAAGTAGCTGGGACTACAGGCATTCGCCACCATGCCCGGCTAATTTTTTGTATATATTAGTTGGCCAATTAATTTCTTTCTGATTTATAATAGAGACGGGTCTGGCTCTTGCTCAGGCTGGTTTTGAACTCGACTCGAGCCAACTCCGCCGCCTCCGCCTCCAGAGAGCTAGTTTTTTTTTTTTTTTTTTTTTTTGAGACAGAGTCTTCACTCTGTTGCCCAGCTAGAGTGGGCTGTGGCGTCAGCCTGGTCACAGCAACCTGAATCTCCTGGGCTCAAGCAATCCTCCTGCCTCAGCCTCCCAGTAGCTGGGACTACAGGCAATGTGCCACCATGCCCAGCTAATTTTTTATATATATGTTTTATTGGTCAATATTTCTTCTTTAGTAGAAAGAAACCAATTATTTCTTTCTTAGTTTTTTAGTAAGGCTCAGGGTCCGCTCCAGGCTCTTGTTTCGAACTCCTGACCTTGAGGGATCCACGCAGCTACGGCCCGCCAGAGTGCTAAGAATTAGACAGGCGATTAAAAAGTTTTGAAAGATGTTGCCCAGATTCTGAACCTTTGGCCAAGTAGTAGGACCAAAAAATCGATGTGTTTGGGAGCAGTGCTTCGTGCCTGTTGTCTTCCCAGCTACTTGGGAGCTGTGGTGGGAGGATCCCTTGAGCCCAGGAGTTAATCCAGCCAGGGCAACATATCAAAACCTGTCTCTTAAAAAAAAAAAAAGCAAACAATACAAAACCATTAAAGTATCGTTTGCGGCTGGGCTCCCAGTTCCACCTGGCAACCCATGGAGCTGGGAGAGCCTCCCCAGGGTGCTGCGAGTGTGGGGAGAGATGTGGGAAAGCCCCACCCTCTGAGGAAGGAGAGTCGTCAGATCGTGGGATTCTTGTACTCACTGCTGCACAAGCCAGGGGCTGGGTGTCGACCCTGCTCTCTGACTTCCAAAACAGCAGTGAAACTCTCTCCCCCCTCTCTCCCGTTGCTCCAGGATGCTGTTATGGATCTCTGGTTCACGACTTTAAGCCCAAGCCCCAAGCTCCCTGTTTTAGAGTGCAGCGTCTCGGCCGACAGCAAGGAGGTGAGCAGGAGGTTCCTCTTGAACCCAGTGGGAAAGGGAGAGTGGAAAGCAGGCAGGCGGGTTTTTTTTTTATTTTTTTATTTTATTTATTTTTTTCTTTGTTTTAAAAATTGTAGCAAAGGCGGGTTGTTTTTAAAGCAAGCATAAATACGTCCATATATGGGTCTGAGATGTTTCCCTTTTTTTGCTGATGAGACAGGCAGATGTGTCACAGTTCGAAAACATAATGCTTAAGAAGGCGGAAAATTGTTGTGGGCTAATGAAGCCAGTCTGGATTTTCTTTACAAGGTTTTTTTCCATAGTCGGCTGTAAGAACGGTTCACCTGAAAGCTTTGCAGTATAAGTCCCTACAATTCTAAGCCTTCATTTCCCGGGGCAGGTGAGGTCTTGGGGGGCAAAGGCATGCCGGGCTGACTCAGCTGGGAAGGTTAGGGGCTCAAGCAGCAGTGACCACACAGAATGTCTCCAGGGTGCGTTTGTCCAATCCCCACTCCCGCAGCACATGAGATTGGGCCTTTAGCAGACAAGGGAGTTTTGCTTTAAATGGATTTACGTTCCACCATCAACAGCAGCATTAAAATAGTATAGCAGAAAACAAGCATGGGGCTGGGCACGGTGGCTCCCACCTGTAACCCAGCCACTTTGGGAGGCTGAGGTGGGCAGGCATCGCCTGAGGTCACGGAGTTCAAGACCAGCCCTGGGCATCACAGAAGACCCTGTCCTACCAAAAAATAGAAAATAGCCTGGACATATCTGTAGTCCCAGCCCACCGGGACGGCTGAGGCAGGAGGATCGCTCGAGCCCGGAGTTTGAGGCTCAGTGGGGAAAAAGCTTGTGATCAACACCACTGATATCCAGCCTGGGCAATGGATGAAACCCTGTCCATTGAAAAAACGCAAAAACCGCAAACGAACAATAAACCAAAAACTATAGAGGAGTTAACTTGCTCAGGAGCCGTTGAGCCACTTCTATAGACGGAAACCAAACACTCCACGGAAACGTGCAATGTGGAAAGAAGACAAAGCACATTTGTATATTTTTTGCTAAACGGATAAGAAACTCTCAGAGCAGACCGAGCAGCTGTTTGAGCCTTTCCCGTGCCCCGAGAGATGTGTGGGTAGAGAGGGAGGCGATTGTGCTCTGAGTTTGCAGGATCCCCCTTAGAAGAAGAAATACATTACAGAAAACAACAACAACAAAAGGCCTGCCTTGCCATTGTGTGTCGGTTCTCTCTGATTCTCAAAGGACTGCTCCCACCTGGTGCAGACAGCATCTCTCTCCTCCTCTTTTTTTTTTTGAACAGATCTTACTCGATTGGCCAGCGCAGAGTGCCGTGGCGTCAGCCTCGCTCACAGCCAACCAGACCTCTGGGTCCAAGCCGATCCTCCTGCCTCAGCCTCCCAACGTACGGGACTACAGGCATGCAGCGCCAC